ATAATCCTTAAACGTCTTTATCCAGAGTAACACTAAGAATTTCAATGGATTCTTGAGTCTCTACTTTAACACAGTTTACAACAATGTCGTTGTTGTACAAGCATGGCCCGAAGGTCAGCGCCTGCCTGGGTCTTGTCATTATTAACAACAAGGAGACGATTCTGATCAAACCAGAATGACAATAAGCTAAGCTCAGAGTTTACAACAAACTGCAGTACAGCAGGGGAGGTATCAGAGTAATATCCTGTTGTATCATCTGCGTAGCGTCTTAATAAAGACATATGAGGAACGAAAATTTTAAAATCGTTAATTAAAATGTTAAAGAGAAGAGGCCCCAGAAAGGAACCCTGAGCTACACCTACTTTATTGTCTGTATAACTAGAACATCTCCCTTGAACTTTAATCTCTGTTTACGACCGTCAGGTAAGAGGAAATCAACTGCAAGGCTTATGAGGAGAAAACATGCATTAAGTTAAGGCAGCAGTAGAATTTGATCGATTGAGTCAAATGCTGTGCTAAGACCTATGGCAACTGCAGCAGCCGCTTCCCTGTTGTCTAGAAATCTTCTCCAGTCCTCAGATATTTTCATGGGAGCAGAACAGCAAAAATGGTGCTTTAAAAATGCTGAAGTATTCAACGAAAGATGACTTCGAATGCCATAGTGTACTTTATCATTTATACAAGATGCTCTCGGACACTTTGAACAAAGCAGTGAAAATTAATATGGGACGATAGTTAGCTTTGTTTGTATCATCATCTTTCTTAAAACAGGGGTCACGATACTGCATTCAGTCCACTCTAGTGGCCAGGATTGACTGTTAATGAAAAAGTTGATTAATCTGAGCGATAATCTCGTTCACTATAACGGGGACACCCCAACAGAAAACGTCTTAGCATCTAGGTTGTGTATACGTAGTATTATTGTCAGTATATTTAGAGCAGTTACGAGACTGTCCAATCTTCCTCATGTGTTTTTTTACGCGAAGCAAAAGTTTATCAAATAAAGGAGAGAGGTCACGTTGTCGATTAAGCTGTTCGTTAAGGATCGCAGATTCTTGAGTTCCTTTGAAAGTCAAAAAAACAAATAGGTTATTTAACTTCGTATTTTGATTCCTGTAGTATGGAAAATGTGCCCGTATATCAAAGTTTAGAATAGAAGTAACAGTAAGATTTGCGCTTGTTTTAAAGTTTTTTGTTCGAAGTGAAAGTTAGTATTTCAAAGGAGCTTCGCTGTTAGGCCTGGTTAAATCTTATGATAGTTGGCGTAAATATGAAGGTAAAAAATAGCAAAGGAAATACTTTGCATGACTTTTTTCTCGTACGTTTTATCTGTGCTAGGTGTTAAATCTCACAAAGGGGTGACCTTATCGTAGTTGCAAAATAAAACATCGACAGATACACTACCCAATTTTGTATTTGCAGTGGTAAAGAGCATAAAAATATAAAATCAGATTTTTTCCTTCTCCCACTTTTTTCCCATTTTTTTTTTGTTTAACGGAAGTAAACAAATTCAATGAAAGGTTTTAAAAAACATCACGATAGAAATGAACCAGTTGAAAGGGTTTCTTATATTGGATCCTAACAAAGTGAAAAGGTCGTTTTTCTCTGAGTGTTAAAGTACAGAAGGGCTTGTCATGTTTGATTTTAAAAGGGCACATCTTAAATGCTCTCTGCATTATGGAATGCCAGATTTTTGCCTCCCAATTTTTTTCACGATTGGGTTCCTTTTTCATTCTCCAGAGATGAAGTTCAAGAAGTTAACAAGGGTCTCTGTTGGTCTAACATGTTTCGCAATTTTGGTTCAAACTGTATTTTGTCGTTTATACATTGGAACGAATACACAGTTCTGCTGTGAAAAGACTGTAAACTCAAGTGGCTTCTGCTGCTGGAATAAAACCGTAAAGGAAAATGGCGTACAGGATGCGTGGAAATTCGACAACTGTTCTCAACGTGAGAATGAAAAAGCATGCTTTAATGTCACTGAGATGCATTCTTGTCCACAGAATCATAGTTCTACTCTCCCTGTGCAGGAAAAAAGACAAATTCACATTGGAGCGTTTGTTCCATTCCTAAAAGATGACAGATACGGACATTTTACAGCGATGAAAATGGCCATTGATATAATCAACAATCGAACTGATATTCTAGATAACTACACTCTGGTTCTGGACTCTGAAGATACAATTTGGGTAAGTGCATGATACTTTATTGATATGAATCACTTCACTGAGGATGATTTTGATGGGTCATTCTTGTAAGACGGACTTAACAATTAGTTCTAAAATCTTCTTGTTAGGAAGAATACGAAGAGCGCTCAGACCATTTGTACGGAAAATCCGATAATTCCGGGAGTAGTTATGCTTCAGCAAACTTAACCGGATTTAGGTATAGGTATAGGTATAGGTAAAAACCCCAAGTGAGAACCTTGACGTATTACTATAAAAACACCAAACAATTAATAACTTAACGAAGATCAGTTAAAACACACGACTAATAAAACCAGACACGTTTCTTAAGACACGAGAAATCAACTTTATGATCCTTTAATAGTAGAACTATAAACCATCATGGCGGCCGGTCGCCTCATTTGGTCGCTCCGGCTTTTTGTCCTTTTCATTCTCGTATGCAAGGTTAGGTGTTCAACAGGAACAAGAAATTGCCATATAACGGCCACTTGTAGGCTGAGAAAAACGTTTTTTAGTCGTGTAATCCATTACCCTCCAAACTGAGATGCTGGCTATAATCCATGTGAAATTCCACTCGACTGTATTCATCCGAACCCAGGACCTGTGAAGAACCCCTGTGTACACTGCAAAAGAGCAATTGTCGACTCAAATTCAAATTTCACATTAAATGTTAAAAACATGGCGGCGCCTTCTAAAATTTTATCCACAGTCCGAGGCTTAGGCAGATTCAATTCTCCTCCCTTTTGTTGTTTTCTCTTTACTTTTTTGATCCCTTTTTTTTGCAAGTTTTACACACGCTACCACTTTAGGTGCATGTTTGAGACCTAACCGACCTCCTTTCAGGATCACGGGTAACGCAGTCGCCACAGTTGCAGCGGTAGCGAAAACTCGTCCTCTTACAAGGTGCAAAATCAGTGATTAAATCTTCCACGGTTTGTTGTTTGATTAAAAATCCTGTCAATTCAGTCGGTACAATCCCTCTAACAAACGTACGTAATTCTATTAAGGTTTTTTCATGATTGGTGTAAGCAAAGCGAGATATTTCTTCTTTTCGGGCCGTGTTTCGAACATCAACCCACCCTTTCACCAACACTCCAAGGGTTGTTAGCAATGTCACCAACCAGCTCAACGCTAAATTATTGCCAGCAATCACACCACGCAAGGTTAGTAACAAAGCCATTCCATTAAAACAGGCGTTGATTTTCTTAAAATGTTGATAATGTTTGCGACACAAATATTGACGATGGTAATAACGAAACTACTTTTCCAATTCAAACAACATCTCTTTAGGGGCTTGGATTGTGCGAATAGTTCCATTCAATAAAGAGACATGTAATTTAGACATGTATTTGTTCATAAACAACGGCGGGAAAATCTTTGTCTAAGATATTATTGGTCCACAGCCGATATCGATCGTCCAAGGCTGGATGCAAATCGAGCCAGAAATAACCAAAAGGTTGCTGTGTCGCTTCTTGAAACAACGTCAACGCTTCTTGCCAAAGACTGGAAAATGCTTGCAGTAAGACCGTTCTTATACCTGTTTTGTCTCGTGGATTTTTAAAGACTGCCATATAATGGGTATTTCGATTCATGGTTTAAGCATATTTACCGGCCGGAAAAAGATCTTGAATCAAATAACAGACCCTAATGTTTGAATGATGTGAATGTTTCGTAAAAATATCCACTACCAACTCATCATTCCCGCAAGATCGCATCAAATCATCGATCACTAACAGACCCCTTTGCGTAGGAGTAAAGCACGTTTTAAGATCGTCTAACGTAGGCACCCCTTCACGAAAATGAATGATCTTGTTTTTTCATCTCATCAAACAAAGGCTGATACGAGCCATAACAATAATGTTGATTAGGGGGGCACACTCGTTGAAGTTGACGTAATAAATGTTGCGTAAAATAAATTTTACCCGAACCGGAGGCGCCCGTAATCAGAATTCGAGTAGGGGTTCGTATCATAATGTTAGTTGGTTTTAGTACATACACAAATGAGCCCCCATAGGTTAGAAGCCTCCTTGATAAAACTCTCACTAATACGATCTTTTATATGGCTTTAGGGACAAGTGTGAAATAAATATGTATGGAGCCTGTCGAATCCAACCGTTCAGCATATTGTCTCAATTGTTCATAATGATGATAACCCCAGGTATCCCCAAAACAATCCTGAGGATTTATGACTAAAGCCCAATATTCCATTTCTTTTAACAATTGGATGGATTTTTGAACCGTAAGTGTGCACATGATAAAATGAAAAGGGAAGGTGTAAAGACAAGGACTTATATACACACAAACGAACGGTTACACTTTTTTATTTTGACATATGTGACACCCAGGTCTTACAACAATGTTTTCTAGTAACAAACCTATTTTATGATCACTGCTTACAAAAACATGAGAAGAAAATTGTTCTAAAAAATCTTGTAATGACAATCCTCTGGCTTTGGCTTTTAAATAAAGCAAAGCATAATGCCCACGGGCCGCACAGTTCATGGCTTGAATATGTTGATTGTTTCCAATCAAAGTTTTTTTAGCAATCCATGCCTGCAAGTCTCTCGCTTCATACATGCTGACCGGTAACCCATAACTATCCATGATTTCACACACTTGATTCTCCCACCATAGTCCTAACCAATGCTTCCCTGATTCACTTTGAGGATCTGTATTCAAAATAAGCGCTTTTTGACCTCTAGGTTTAGGTAATTCATCGGAGGCATAGACACCTCCAAAGACTCTTTTTAAACAAGGATCTTGACGCGCTAAATCCAGTAATGTTTGGGTGGATAACGGAACAATATCCATTGTTTAAATCACACCTCCGCGATGATCCACTTCAATCACTTGTTCAAACTCTCCAAAGACAATGACTGTTAAATTCTGGTTGACAGCAGCCGCAAACTCAATTTCAATTGTTACATCACCTGTCAGAGGGGGGTTTCTTAGGGATGAGCCGTCATCGCCTGAGGGGACGTTGTTCCAGAAGTAAAGTGTACAATATCTTCCCTGACCTCTATCTGAAGGTTTAATCATGGTGCTACCTCCTTTAATAGTTTTGGCGAGAGTTATGAGCATGCAATGATAGCCTGCATAATCCTTGGCTTCATCTGTTACATTCACTTCTAGGGTAGAATAATGTCTTTCTTCATTTCCAATCATTTGCTTCATTGGAGTCACTCCAAATTTTTGGAAACAGATGGGGTAATACCCTAGATCCCCATTAAACGCCTCTGAAAGAACCAAACTCCACAATGGTACGATCTGGGGTTCTGCCGGGGAAAAGATTCGCCTCCTATCATCTGGTGGTTTTTCCTGGGAAGGTAAACGTTCTGCTTTCACTGGTCGTGCCCAAATACGTGATCCATTTGCCTTTCACAGGATATTTGGCCAAACTGTTGTAGAGGGTAGGGTTTAGCATAAGTCTGGACAAATAGAGACTCACACTGATATCATCATTGGTAACAGTGATTTGTTTTTCAGCAGCAATATTGGTTCCCCATGGGAAGAAATTAGGACTGTTTAAATAAAATTTCAATCCTTGCTTGACTCCAGGTGCTAACAATTTTCCTGTATAAAACATCGCTAGATGAAGCCGAATCATCGAGGGTACAACTTTATTGCCGTTAAATTTTTGGTGGCTTCTTTCAGAGCAAGGGAATCTGCATGCTTGTATCCAGTTTTGGTAATTTTATTATCTGTACCACTTGTTCTGGTTAAGGAGGGTATTAATTTGGATTAATTTGTTGCCCATTCAAGGCCATGGTGATGTTGTTAAAGATAGAATGAGACAAATTATTGACTTTGTAGACATATTTCGTTGCTGTGTTATCAGAGGCAGCATCATCTCCATCAGAAAGTCCAGGTGTAGTGGCGGCGGTTTTCAGGCGTAGATCAATTTGCACATAACTTTGAGTGGATTCTATAATGATGGGCCCGACTTCAGAAATCACATCTTCTTTTAATCCACGACCACACATAGCTGGCGTGTGCTACCTCCGTAGACTTCCGCCACGCATCGGTGAGTGCGTATGAAACTTATGTTATGGAACGTTTGGAATCTTGTGATCAAGGCCAACTTTTATACCTGTCTAAACAAGACGGTCAGGAATGTTTTTCCTTGATCCAACTCCACCATAGAACCATCATTTTCTCGTAAATGTGTTTCAATTGTTTCGAGAGATAATGTTGCAATCGGCAAGGAACCCACTGAATGTGTTTGGGTTCATAATATAGGGTGCCTTGTTGCAGTCTATTACAATAGGCTTCTGCTAAAAGATCTGGCTCTGAACCTAATCGGAATACACTAATATAATGGACGAGGGACGAGTCACTGCTTCCTCAAAACAGGGATCTAAATTACAAAACACCCAATCCACCATCAAGGGAATTTGAGGCCATTGATGTGAACTGACTTGAATCATATCTTTGTTATTACTGTAAAATTCCGTCCTGGTAATAGCATTAAAACGTTTGCTACTATTATCGTAGGGTAAACGAAAGTTTAAATTGGTCGGGTTTGGGTAATATTTATCCCCCACTTTCATTACCCATTTCATGTTCAAGGCCAAATCAATGGCGATATTAAATCGGATAGGACAATTCTTGATATCCTATAGGGCCTTGTTTTCTACAACAAAATCATGCCCTTCCCAGTGAGCGGTGCCTGACGCGCTTTGCATCTTGTCCATAATAGGGAGCGAGTTGTGTTTGAATAGCAGTTTGCACACTGCTAACGAAATGCTGTTTTAAATTTTTCATCATACGCATACCATTGCTGACCTCTAATAAACGCTGAGGTGTCATAAACCCTTGACATCCTAATTGAATATTGCTCCCAACTTCGTGGATACAAAATGCAAAGACTATAGGTTTTTGACTTGTGCTCAATAGAGCATTATGTCTATGACTAGTCGCGGGCATACTAAGCGAGTAAAGCGCCACTTCCCAACCATGCCCAGCCAGATGTAAGGGGGTCGGTAGGCGTACTTTAAAAGAATAGTTTTAATTGTCAGGATATTCAGGCGTTTTATCACTCACTAGTACGACACGCTGCATGTTTGTAAAAGTGAGGTGTTGATTGTTGAGGGTCCTTCTATTTAAACTTTTATGAACACGAGATTCGCAATGGTTTTACCCGCATTCAATTGAAGAAGTTCACCATTGCTTTTAGCAATTTCAAATTCAGTCGTTTCCACAAAATGCTTCCGACACGGTACCCATTGCACATGCGTTGGTTCAAAATACATGATACCTTCAAGGGTGCTTTCACAATACACTTCTCTCAACAAGTTGGTTTTCTGCTCTCCCATTATTTGACTTTGTAGTAAACCAGAGTGGATTAAAGAGACGGTAGAGACTTGGGACACGGCTCTTTGAAACAGGCATCTAAATTTCGAAAAACCCATTCCATGGTAAGGGAAAGATAGATATAATTGCCCAACACTTTGTAGACTTGTTGTCCTCCAAATTCTGTCCGTTGAACTCCGTTATATTGATTATTGGTATCTTCATAAGGTAAACTAAAATAACAGTTTGGTTCCACTGGTCTGTATGTGTTATTTTTGATTTCAAACCACCCCATTTTAACAGCAAAATGTTTTTTCAAAACGAAATTCTAACCCACAAGCCTATATTTGGTTATAGGCTTTACAGTGGAGAATAAATTCATCCCCATTCCATCCGGCAGTAATATTATCACTTGGGAACAAATAATATTGTCTACCCCCACTTGAAAGAGCAAAGTGTTGAGTCACTAAATGTTGTTCGCTATCGATACGATGTTTTAAGATTGTCATTAAATGAATGCCACTGGTTGCGATACGGGCTTCTTGATTCGGGATATAACCTTCCCATTGTAATACTTGATTGTCGTCGAGTTGTCGACTACACCCTGTGAATTGAAACGGCCATGTCACATCATCGTTGTGCAGTCCGGAGGTGTCTCTATCATGAGGGTTTGGGAAAGTGATAGAATGAAAGGCTATTTCCCACGTTCCGTTCTCTAACTGTAGGGGGGCTGGAAAACGTACTTTAAAATGGTTGTTCTTGTTATCGGAAGATTCAGGAGTCGTACTACTTTCTAACACCACACGTAACATTTTGATATTAAAAATGATCTTTTATTCAACTGAGTCACTTTTAAATTACAAGATCTGATTTTGAATCAATGAATCGTAATCCCGACTAAATCCCTTCCAGCGCATTTTGAGTTGATTGCCTTTTCGCCCCAAGACTTTTTCAACCCGGAATAATTGATCGTCTACATTCACTTTCTGTAATTCTTGTTTGTAAAAACTACCTTCAATAGGGGTCCCGTTCCATTCTGTAATCTCTTAGGTAATGACCACCCCAGGAATCACTTGACTAACTAAAAGGACTTCCTCGGTCCATTGTGGCAAATAGGATTCATCAAACACTTTTTGTTTTTTACTCAATCGCACACGATCCCCCACTTGAAAGATAGGTTTTTGTCGCTTGGCCTTGATCCGTTTCGATACAAATTCAACCACACTTGTCGTTCATTCTTAGCATTCACATTTTTGGGCGACATTTTAATACTTCGATGAGTGGTAGAATTATAGCCTTTTACAAGAGCCGGTAAAACGTCTAAATAATGCAATGAATTTGCGGCGGTGAGGTAGCGGTATAAGCGTTGTTTAAATGTAAAGATTGAACCGTTCCACGACAGCGGCTTTGGTGTCTCCTTTGGTAGAAAATAAATGAATCTGATGTTTTTTCAACAAGGCTCTAAATGTTGCGTTTTTGAACTCATGGCCGTCGTCGCTTTCAATCGTCAAAGGAATTTGTCCACTCTGTTTTAATGCCTTAGCAAAAGCTTTGGCGACTTCTTTCGGAGACTTGTTTCTCAAAGGTACTACCCAAGCAAATTTCGAAAGAACATCATTGACGCTTAATAAATAACGGGTCTTTTTATTCCATATGGCTAGCTGACCCACTTCCATTAAATCAAAAACACACTGCTGATTGATAGATAACACCATCACGGGTTCCGTAGGATAATGGAGGCGGCGAGGCTTATGCAACGTATAACTCGGTAGTGATTGCAATAGTTGTTGCCCTTCTCGGGTGGAGAGTTTGTTTGCTTTCGCAAAGGGTGGAACCCCGCCCAGACTTCCTGCTTGTTTCGGGTTTTCGTACTTCTGTTGGCTTGATTTCATGGTGTGATACAATGACAGATGAATCCTTATAGTCTGTTTTTATACCAATTCAGTACAGCCAAAAGAGAAGGGATCTGGTCGAGAAAAGAATGTTTTAGAATCAAAAACCATAGATAGCCTGCTTGATACCCATGACTCCTCCTCAACCAATTGATATACACGATAAATCGTCCCGTATTTGATACACCCGTGGCTTGAAATAGTTGTATGGGGCAATAACGTACAGGAAGTATCTTTAATCCTTCACCTTGAGCTGTCCATGTAAAGATTCCCCAAAGAATATAAGACCTCATATTGATTTAAAATGTATTTATTACGGGTCAAAAACAACTCTATTTATAACAAACCGTTTTTCTTTTATCTTAAGTTCTGACATCGTTGTATTTTATCACTTTTAATGTATTAAAAACGTTCAGGTTCAAACAAGTTACGTCTAGAATAAACTGCTAAGTTTATCACAATTCCCTACTAATTGTATGCATTGCTCTCGGCTCGTTTCTCCTCCGAAATCACCAAAGTAGACGGTTTGAGCTTCTTTATCCGTGGCTTGTTCTTCTATTGTTCTGTAAAAAGAACAACGGCTGGAAGTAGGTTGGACTTCTTTTTCCAGTAAGAAGTGGTCAATCGGACGTTTCAGGTGTACTTTAGGCTTCCGCAAACTGACCGCATTCCTGTACATACTTCATATAATACCCCTTTAAGGTTTGGTAGGCTTCAGGAGTTCTACCGAGACTTTTGTGATGCTCATAAGCGGGACGAATGCATTCTTGAAATCTAAGCCCTTGGAAATGATCTGAACTACAGATTGAATTTATACAATTCTCTACAACCACGAATCCTTCTTCTCGTAAGGGCACTTTGAATTCTTCAATGGGCGGGAAAAAGAATAAACCACTGTCCACAGCAGGTGCTGTCTTCAGTTCTTTAGAAATCATGGAGATAGGTTGTAATAATTCTTTGTCTTTAGGATGAAGAGGGCTGTCCACCCATTGGAAAATCGACTGTTTCCATGTCGTGAGGTGACGTGCACGGCTCATTCTCAGGACGGTTTGGGGACCAGCCACTTCTTTCAACTGGTCCCATTGGCCTTGTACTTCTGGATGAGTGTAATTATTACAGAATTGGAGTATTTCTAATATACTTCCTTCCTCAGCAAAAATGTGACTGAGGGCAATAAAAATACCCTTTTAAATTCTCTTCACGTTCGAACTTCAAGGTTTATTGCGGGTAAAATGGACAGACAAGGAGTGAATAGGCTCCTGCTGGTTCTGCTGGAGTAGGTGGTTCTGTGGGAGAAGGACAGGGGAGAGGCTCTGTCTGAATCCCTTGATCAATGGTTTTCTCTGTTTGGGTAGCCTAAACCTTTGTTCGTGCTGCTTGAATCATGTGGTTTAATGCTTCTTCCATTTCCAAGTCTTCTTTCTTCTTTTTCTTGGATGCTTCTGTCTTCTCAGAGATGTCACGTTTTTTAACCATCTTGATGTTTTGATATTCTACGGTAACGTCGCGATTTTTATAGCAGTGATCTATTGTGTATAAAAGCAGTTAAACCTGCTTTACTTGTTTCTTTCTACTTGCCCAAACCTGCCAAATGACGTTATGCATAATACCCCTCCCAAACTTGTCCTATGATGATAAAAGCCAAGTGCTTATTTTATTGGTGCTACAAATATGACATGTTCCACTTGTCTCTTAGCTTCAGGCTATTCACAAGATTATTTTCAAGAAAATTTCCCTTCGGTGAATGTGTTATTCATCGCTTTCGATTTATTTTTTTTTCACTCAAGGATATCCAGGATCTTTTACAGCAAAAGTTTACTTATCCTAAACTACAATTGTGTGATTATTGTAGGCGGGCCCATTATTTACTATGGCTGAAAAAACGACTACCCTTCTTTATTGTTTTGGACGAAGCCAGAAAATGAATCGTATGGCGGAAATGTATGGAACAGATAGTGGACTATGTTCTCTGTGAGTGTTGTGAAGAAGCAGTGCATGAAGCTTGTACGAAAGGAGAGGGATTGAGTTATGTTCCTGATCGCTGTAATACAGAAAATGTTTCCGGTATGAGGTGTCGTGATTCCAGCAATATTTTTCAGGACAAAGACTGTGAAGAAGGAAATGATCGCTACCGCTTACCAATTGATCAAGTGGCTAAACTAAAGGAAGAGAATGAACGGTTGAAAATATAGATACAGTTCTTTGGTTATTGACTTTAACCATAGTTGGTCCTAAAGGAACCGTTAGAAGCTCCTAAAAAGAGCTGTTAATTTATTTTTCCAGCAAGGCGAGCATTTCGATTAGGCGATTCTGTTCTCTTATACACTTTCTCAACAGGAGTTCTCTTGAATGCTTCAAAAGTTTATTATGGACTCCTGCCAGGAAATTTCTATCTTACCGTACTTTTCCAACCAGGGGCCGCTTAGATTCTACGGGTGTGGAATCCACCAAATTATTGCCGGGTAGATCTCACTCGACTTCTTGAAGGGCTTTTTCCAGGGTAGCTTCCATGATGAACATCTGATGAGTAGAGATGCTCTTAGTCTCTTTTTGTAGTGTTTCATTTGCATGCGGTACATGGTAGTAAATAAGACGGCCACGTGAACCATGAAGTCGGTGCGCCAAGGTTAAAATACTTCATCACTACTTCACCGCTTTGACGGTAAAAACTGCGTCGGCAACGTCTATTAGCTTTTTACCGCTCTGTTTGGGACGGTAAAATTGATATCTAAACAAACTATCACTTCAAAAAGTAAGTTTTTTTATATGTTTTTGATCAGAGCGTTTGAGAAGATATTTTGTCGAGTGAAAAATGACTTTGCCTCCTTGCTTTGGACTATAAATAGGATTGATTACTTTTGCGTTGTTTGAATTCAAAGAAAATGATTGTTAAGTCGAAGGAATTAGCATGTTTTGCCTGAGTGATTTTTGCTTGCTAGGGTGAATTGCTTGCTTGCGTTGTTGTGTAAACCACTTTTGATTTGAAAATATACTTTTTCAACATGAATAAATGTTGTTATTTCACTTGCTCTCCTTGGTGTGGAATAAGTCTTAAGCGTGACAAGCGGTAATACTAACGAGAATTCTACACTAATTTTTCTAAGTGAAATTAATTCTGAATTGGTCGTGCGCACGCGTTGTTCGAAAAGGATGACTGTGTATGTTTGTCCCACATGTCTGCCATGGACGATTTGTTGACAAATATAAACCCGTTCTACCATTGCGACTATTGAATGAGTTTCCGAACATAGATTACCGTTTTTGTTCCGATTAGCACACGAACCCTCACCCGACTATAGCTCAAAGAAAAACCCTAACTCACCCTATAGCACGAACCTTAACCCTAAGTATGCGAATCGTGCGCGATTCTTGATCACATGACAAACCTCCACACGCGATCCCACGGGTCAAAACCCTCATTCGGTCCCAAACTCGAACCCAGGACCAAAAAGTAGACCAAAAAGGGCAATCTATATTTTTTACACTACGTTTTCCTCCCCAATTTTTTTTTTATTCCCTCCTCCTCCTCGACAATTTTATTATTTTCCCTCCTCCTACTCCACCTCCTCATTTTTTATATATTTTTTCTCTCCACCACTACCACCACGTTTCTATTGTTTCCCTCCTCCACCAACACAACTACCACATTTATGTCGCTTTCACTCCCCCTATTGTTTTCCTGCCAGACAGGCCAAAAAGGCCAACCTCAGGCCAAAATAGCCAAAATCAGGCCTAAAAGGCCAAACTCAGGCCAAAAAGGCCCGACTCAAAGAACCAATATTGTGGGTAGGAAGACGATAGGAGGAGTGAATACAATAGAAATGTGGTGGTGGTGGTGAAAGGTAAAATATATTTAAAAAATGAGGAGGTGGATTAGGAGGCGAGAAAATAATAAAATTGTGGAAGAGGAGGAAAACAAAAAAAGTGGGGAGGGAAAATAATAAAATTGTGAAGGAGTGTATAAAAAAATTGAGGAGGGAAACGTAGTTTCAAAAAAGATAGATTGCCCTTTTTGGTCTACTGAATGGATATTTTAAAATCACTGAGTATTTTATCTTTTTGCAATTGTTAAAGGGTTATAAAGTTGATTTCTCGTGTCTTAAGAAACGTGTCTGGTTTTATTGCTATTAGTCGCGTGATTTAATTGATCCTTGTTCTCGCGGAGCGAGTTTATAATCTCGTCGCGCGCGAAGCGCGCGTGCAGCACGTGAACCGTGCATTGTACAGATCGTGTATCGTTGTATCGGAGAAGATAATAGGGACTTTTAGCACCGACGGTTTTCAGGACGGCTACGGGAACCGGAAATGAAGTCAGACTCTTTTTCGCGCGCGCGAGTGTCACCCTCGGTTTCTTGCCACCGTAGCGGCCTTCCCTAGTACGGCAAACCGAGTAGTTTGACGTACTGGCGACTACGGGAGTTTTAGGTGAGTATTTTATTAACCTTTTAATTGACTTTTAGTGTTTTCATTTGAAAAACAACTTCTTATTCCTTTTCTTCATAAATTTAGACCAGTTTTCTTTAGAATTGGTTTGATATTTTTCCTTTATTTACGCTTTTTTCACAGGTGTGGAAGACACATGTCGGTCGAAAAGCATCCCAAGTGAGTTTATTTTTGTACATGATTCTGCTTGTCCTTTCCGTTTTCATTTTGATATATAACGCTAATACTCTTTATCTAAATTGTTTCTTAACGTTTGGAAGAGGGTTTTTCTTTCAAGTTTTTATCTATTGTTATGTTTCAGTCGCCGAATATCTTTTTTTATAACCAGACAAAACATGCCTTTTTTGCCTATGGCTGCTTTAATTTTTATATACAACTCTTGATGGTGTTCAGCTTCAAGTCGGGCATCAAAATGAAAGGCGAGAAGCATTTAAACGTGCTCATATGAGTTGCTGGACGTGATAACGGGCAGTATTCATTGAAGGACATCCTCCTTTAAATTTCTCTGCAAGTGGCTACTGTCGCGAACAAGTTTTTCAGTGCAAGATAGGAAATGAAACAGAAAGAATAATTAAACTTATAGCTGTGGCCACTTGCAGTCCTTGACTGACAATTTTTATTTGAGCGAACATTGTAAAAATCTGATTTAAGCTGGAATCAGTGGAATCACGGTTGAATTTTCCTAATTGTTTCGCTGTTTGTTGATAAAATTTGTAGCATCATTTCCAAGATTCAATGATTTGTATGTTATTTCTCAGCCATGATCTAGAATCCCTGAATAGCTGAGGGGCTAGTCAGGTTAAAAACTCAGGTCTGATTATTTTGTCTTACTGTAGGGCTGCAATGGAGTGGACCCAAGACCATGATTTGATGTTGCTGAGAGAGACTGCGTTTGAGGACCCTTTTCAATTTAAAAAAGGAAGTCCTGACAGAGGTGAAGTGTGGTCGAAGATAGCAAGGTCGCTCAATAGTTCTGCAGAATTAAAGTTTGCCGTAAAGCAGAGATCAGTGAGGGAGAGGTTTGCACTATTACAAGCTAAGTATAAAGAAAAAAACAAAAAGGATGAGGCAAGCAGTGGAACATCAACACAAATGTCAGAATTGGACCGGTTATTGGAAGATATCACTGAGAAAGAGAAAGATAGTGAAGAGAGTAGGAATGCTGCAGCTGCTAAGAAAGATAACCAAGACAGAGAAAAGGCAGAAAGCATTAGAAAGACGGCTATGGAAAGGGTAAGCCAGACTAAGAAACGACAGGAAGGGACAGAGCGTGAAGCAGTGAGCACTAAACGAAGACGTAGAGGTGGAGATGAGACTATAGAATACCTTAGAGAAAAAAGCGAGGCAGAAAGAAAGGTACGAGAGCAAGAACTGGAACTGAAAAAAGGCAGAGGTGGCACTACAGGAAAAGCGGGCAGAGCAAGGCCAGACCCAGATGCAGGAGATGTTGAGAGTAATGCAACAACAGCAACAGCAGAGTCAAAACATGACAGCTTTGCTAATGCAGCAACAACCACATTTTATGAATGTAATGCAAAGTCTTCTTAAAAAGCCACAGTAAAAAACTTTCCTCGTTGCTTTAAAGTACCCTTCAGTGTGAAATATGACATTTTGTCTTGCCCTTTTTTAGCTTGGCAGGGTCCATTTAATAGTCATGTAGATTTGATTAATTAATCTGTTGTAATCTATTTGAGTATAGTTTTATCAAGTTTGTGGACATTAAACAACCTTTGGAAACAGGTTTGTTCTCTCGACTGGTAATGAAGTCAGATAGTGGTGTATTTGTGGATTGCCTTAAATAAACTATTAATGAGAATCCCACACTTAAATGCAGAGATTTTCTTCGATGACTACAGTTCTATGCATGACTACAATTTTATTTTCAGTTGATGTCTACAGGTAGCCCAGTAAGTTACATCAAGTAGTAACGGCAATGATTATTCTGCTCAAGAATGGTTTTTAGAACCTCTCAACATCTATAAACAGTGCTATCATTGCTTTTTGATTTTAACTTTGTGAAGTACATCAATTAAAAAAAAGACAGAGAAGAATCTTGTAGTAAACCCATCTGATCTACAGTTATGTTGACTATATCCAGTGAAAAGAAAAGAACCGTAAGATAACTGGTTTGGTTCAATCAAGGGTACAGAATGCCCTTGAGCTGACTGGAAAAAAATCAGATATCTGTATAATGGACATGACAAAGAATACAGTCTAAACTTACAGGCTGTAGCTGGATGGTTTTATTACCCTTTTACATTGTCCAGTTGGAAAGCTAGTAATGATTGCTAAGGTTTTATGGTTCTCTTCATGCAAAGTAATCCTGAATGTGTGGAGGCTCCAGTCCAAAAAACTGGGAGGTTTGATTGCCATAAAGACAAGTAAGTGCATTTCTTAAAAGACCAGATACCACATATAATTTCCCAACACTACTGAGCTCTATTTTTAAATTTTTTTTGAAGTCCAGAAATTTAAAATAATTGGCTATGTCCCCAAATAACCATTCTACGGAGACCCTGACTTCACTCATGCTTTTATTGTAAGCAGCCATTTGGGGAGTGAACCCAACACCCTGTCGAAAAGGCGCTTGCAAGTGGACCCTCAAAGGGTACGCAGGGTCTCCATACACACAGTGGTTGGCCAGTAGGGGATATTGCATTGTGTTGCAACATGGGGAGCAATCCTGATTCTCTGAGCATTCCAGCGTCGTGTTTTCTTCCCTCTGAAAGGCAAAAAAGGAAAGTGCCTTCGGTATGGTCAAGCATTCTGACTGGGAAATGCTAATTCCTGTATATGGATGGCAAACATAGTAAACCTCCTTCAGTGTAAAACTGTAAAACATTTTTCTGTTTCTGACCTGTTTTTTTCCGATATGTTTTATATGCATTAATCTTCTTCAAATATGGGACACTTCACTGGCAAAATTTCACAGTAATCCTAGCAAATGTTTTTTATTTTTACGAGATCATACATCAGATTCTTACCAACTGGACCATATAAATGGGCGATAAGACCATTTGGGATGGCTACAGCCTGGAATTTTAAGCTGTGTACCCGCTTGTGGCCATTATAAAGGATTCGTTGGTTTGTTCCTGGCCTGGCTATCGGACGCACTGTTCCGTCGATAAAACCAAAACAGTTGTCTAGAGGTGCTCCATGTTGATGTATACAATCAGCATACGTTTGCAGGGCAGGTGGATTCAATACAGCCAGATTCCAGTCGGTAATTCTTCGGCAATGGGCTTCGTAAATGAAGTCCAGAACACAGTTTGTAGCCAGGCAAATTACCGATACAGGTCGTTGTCCGAACCTGTGCAACAAATCACTGTATCGACACGGGTATGTCAGCCTCTTCAGCAACATGCATAGTGCCTCCATTCCTCCTACAACACTTCTTTGTTCCAAGACAAATTGGTCAGGAATTCCTAAAACCTCCGCTAGAATAGGAAGGTCGTGTTTATGGACCCGAAACTCCGCCAAGCACTCGTCGTTTTGCATGTCGTCGAGATCAAAAAGTGGTACTGCTCGTAAGGAAAATCTAAGTTAGTTGACCTATTCACATCATACAGGAGTAGAAACTCCTCTTCTGTAATTAACCTTTCATCTAATGCATAGAGCAAATGTTCTCGAGCCTTCTTTAGGGACATTTTCCCCTAAATACCTAGGTTTGTGTCCGAGTCTCTCCGACTATTTCGTTCACGCCGTAGTCAGGGATTGTTTTGGTTGCTAAACTATTTTTATTTTCGCGGGCTTTTGTGCGGACGGCGCCTTGTATCCCCAGTCCCGCGCGATCTAGTTCGCCGTAGCCGTCCTGAAAACCGTCGGTGCTAAAAGTCCCTAATTTTTCTGTGAACTGTAAGCGTTGTCTGATCTCTCCATTGCTTTTTGAAGCGTCGGCAGTCTGTATTCCCTCTCTTCATCGGCTCCATTTGCACTGTAATTGTATTATTTTGTCGCTGCCTCTGTACATGTTTGTGGTCGCTGTGTTGACGACGTTGCCTTCGCTGTGCTAAGCGATGTTCATTGTGCTTTGAGCACGGCTTCTTGTTGTCGTCGTCTTTTTCGCTCGCGATGAATTTTAGTCGGCGTTCTCCAGAGTAGTTTCGGTTAAAAATCGAGGATTTCCAGCCACTTGTTGTGTTTGTTGTTCTGTGCCATCTGAATGGGAAATTGCTCGTGATTCACCGATTGTAAACATTGTTTCATAGATGAATAAACATGACCATTTCATGAATAACACATGAAATGCGCTGGTCATCAGCGGCGAAGTGTACGTTGCCTGGAAACGCAAAATGCTCGTAGTGCTACATGATGTCATTGGCGGTCACCAAGCATATATTCATAGAGAGATTTATGGCGCACTGAATTTTGCATCTGGCTAAGACAACTCGCGGTTCACGTGCTGCACGCGCCCTTCGCGAGCGACGAGATTATAAGCTCGCTCCGCGAGAACAAACCGACAAAGACAAGACAAAACTGGCATTGTTTCCTCACGTGTTTTCTTCCGGCTTTGTTGTATAGGTGCTTACATCCGGGGCTTACATCCGATTTAACATCTTTCTCTCCATTAACTAATTTACATCTTCAGGAACTTTCGCACTACGAAAATATCTCTCCCTTGTTTTCTTTAAAAAGGAATCTGATGTTTGGAGGACATCGGCTCCTTTTTTTGACCTTTTTTCACATATAGATAACTTTAAGGTGGCCCGAACCTATTTACATACGCGTTGGTTATGTTTTTGTATGGCGTTTTTCGGCATAACAGATGGTCGAACTTGCTTAACTTTTGTTTGAAGCATATGCCGATATCTCAAACGTTTCTATACCTATAAGAAAATAAATAGCATTTTCTTAAAGTATTAAGTATGCCAAAAATCATAGAAATCGGTTAAATCATTCCTGCCGAAAAGCCCGATTCAAAAACATAACCAACGTGCAAATAAATAGGTTCGGGCCACCTTAAAGATGAATTCGATGGGAATAGTTGATGCTCATTATCATTAGGTTCTTCACATGTGACAGAACTTCGTGTGTTGATATATTTCGTTATGTTGTTTTTTAAGGCTAGTGGTGCAACTGCCATAAGAGCATTGTTTACCCTGCTGAACAAGGAAAACAAACCTGTTATATTGCTTGGACCATCCAACACAGCTGCCCTGGAACCCGTTGCAGAGTCGGCAAAACTATGGAAACTGGTTCAGGTTTGGACATCAACTTTATTGTTATCATGTTAATGTTCAACTTGTCTGTGATGTGGTAAAATGAATAAAACAATCAATCAGTAGATGCTTCCCTCTAATGTTCCCATATGATACTCAGGGGTACTTTGAGTGCAGTGAGATAAACGAGCAGGATTTTCTTATTCATTTCTCCATTGATTGATTCATTTCACTATTACGCTGGAGTACGAGAATAGTTCGTCTTCGGCTCGCCAATGTAAATGCCAATACAGATATCCCGTTGTATAGCGTTTTCACATGACTTCACGACGACCATATTGGTGTTCCAGAACAATGAAACGGCGGCCATGTTAGTGTTCCAAAGCAGTCCTCTGCGAGTTGACTTCTTTTCTCATGCAAGCGCATTCTTTTGTAATTCCTGTAAATTTGCATAGATGCTGCTCACGTGAGTGAAGAGGCTCTGTACACTGACTTATTCTTTATAAATCATTAGTTAGGTTATGGACGTATTTTATGTTGTAAGAACGGAGTCATACGCTCCGGTCGTTTCTGTAGGTTATCACTCTTGCAAAAGCAAAGGCGTTAAATTTAAGATTCTCTTCTTCCCGTCTTTCAGGTTTCTTATGCATCAGGTTCGCCAAAATTTGAAAACAAGTGGATTTATCCGAACACGTACCGTGCATCTCCGTCCTCGGCTTCATTTAGCAAAGCAAAGGTTGCCTTCATAATGTACTTTGGATGGAAGAGAGTGGCCATACTGCACCAATACGATCCAGAATTTTTTTCTCCTGTACAGTACTATTTTTTATTTTAATGTTTTACGTAAATTTCGATTGTATGTATGAACGTTAAGTTTCCACAGTAAGTGCACTACTGCTTTTTAACTGTGTAGCGTGAAAGTAGAATTGGCATTTCAAAGGTTTTCTCTTTACACCTGCCTTGCAAATACTATTTCCTGGCGCAGCTCTTCCATTATGCACTATGCACAGAGCCAAGACAGTACAATTTAGCAGCCAACGACTCTACGATACGACTCAACCAATAGTTCATGACAGTCGTAAGAACGAGGAATATTTGATATACAAGACGCAATATGTGCAGTAGAGTGCACCAGGCTCCACCAGGTTTCTATAATGCCATTTTCCCGACGAAACAATTCACTCAACCCGGCAATTTCGACGCTTTTTATAGGGTAATCTCTGTACCTAACATACGGTCTACAGGGGAAAGATTCTCACATTTTCAGAGACCCAGTGAACGATACACATTTAGTTCCAACAACTGCGCGGCATAGTTGACGAGAATGCGTTGGATTTGTATAGATTTACATGCAGCTTATACTGGACCTCTGGTCTGTACAAGTTTTTCTTCTGAGAAGACTAGCTCGTAAAATCGTCCTGCCCCAAGTTCTTAATTATAATCCCGACTTATGTTCCTTTTTTCCTTTTAAACTCTAAAACTCTCAATGCAGACTTAGACTAGACGCATAAGGTGAGACAAAATAAACCCTACAAATCGACCTATTGATTGACTGACTAACTGATTGACTTATTTATTGTTTTGTTTGCTTGTTTTTTTGCACAGACAGTGGAAAAGCTGAAGATCGAACTTGTGAAGAGCAAAATTAGCATCATTGCAATTGAAGGTTTTGACGAGCTCGGCGATGTCAGTTTTCAGATGGAAAAACTCAAGGTTAACTCCTAGTTATCAATTATTCATTTTAGTTATGTTTTGCATTTCCTGGCTCTACCTTGCCAGTGCCTCTGAGCTTCTTCTCAAATCTGGTGTCTTTTTCTGTTTTAATTAGAAATTGGATGCTAGAATAATTATCGGAGAGTTCAGCTACCTCGGTGCAAGGAACGTTTTCTGTGAAGTAAGTAATGTGACAAAGCAGAGAATGTGCTTCACCCTGATTTCTATTTCAGTGTTCAATGCTGACCTGACTTATAACTTGACTCATGACTCGTTGACTCTAGCCTGCGTTGCCGAGACGGACTTGTCGCTAGGGTTCTCTATCTGGGTCTCGAATCGGGGAAATAGACTGTCTGCAACGCAGGCTAGTTGACCCATGTGACTATTAAAACAAGATTTCTCACATTAATGCCCACAATTTATCATGTTTTGTCCTTCTCAGACCTTTTAACGGTAGAAAACCAAAAAGTAGAGAGCTATGATGTTTTATCTTTTTTTCTGAAAAAACTAAAACCTTCATTTAGCTGTGTTACATATAACTCTAACTCATGAAATTTTTCTAACGCAGGCCTTCAAAAGGAAGATGTATGGACCGAATTATGCTTGGATAATATTTGGTGAATTTAGCCCTACAAAAATTTTCCCTGATGACCCGAAACTTCCAATCAGTGCTTTACGCGATTGTTCAAGTAACGAGCTAAAGGAGGCAGCAAATGGTTACATTTCCACCATCAAGTTGGAAATCCGTATGGACAATAACCAAACCATATCCGGCTTGGTAAGTTGACTGGTACGTTGATAGAGGACATTAACTATTATGTAAACGTTTCTCTTGCTTTGCGGTACTGTAACTTTGTTCGGCGAATTGTGCCGGTACGAACACCATCATGTTACACAAATGCATCGTTTCTTTGTTGGGACCACTTTTCGCTCAAAGGACGGTGAAATGTTACCAAGAGTACCACCTTTTCAAGTTCTAGCTTTCTTTGCATTCAATAAAAAGAACTTTCCTATTAAAACACCAGTTCTGGGACGCCATTTTTTTGTTTTTTTCATGTTGTTGTCGTTATCATTATCACATTAACGTTACTTTTTCATGTTTCTTAAGACGTCTGAAAGATTCTGGTGGCAGATGAGGCAACTGAACAAGCACAACAATCTGAGAAAGGACTCTGCGTACGCCTTCGATTCAGCATGGGTAGTAGCCATGGCACTGGATTCCGCTTTTGCTAAAGGGATGAAATATGAGAAGCTTTTAAACCGAAAATTCAAGCAAGTTGTAGCGATAAGAAATGGTGTTCAAAACATAAACTTTCCGGGATTAACTGTAAGTATAATCTACGATAACACGGCAGATTTTGAATTAAGCGTTTTATCAATAAGAATTATGCTACACTATCTTTTAAGACACAGAAAAGGAAAAATTGTTTTGGGTGCTGGTAAATGCTTTTAAATAATAATATTCCTCGGTTTTTCTTACAGATTCCAGTACATTTAAGATAAAATTTAGTAATTTTTGTTGTACAGGGGCCTGTAGGCTTTGATGAAAACAGAGAAAGAGTTGGAACAGTTCTTATTAAGCAATATAGAGAAGGTAAGCTGCTCTGTAAGGATAATAGTTTCTTGTAGGAAAAGTGCTTGGAAGAAGAATTTCCTGTAAAAACGACAAGATGAGTTATGAAGAAATACATTTGCATCTGCATTTGTCTCCAAAAAGGCACCATTTTGCAGTTGTCTCCCAAAATAACAAACACATTGAAAAATACATTAACTTACAGGACGTTGAGAGAAGACTTGTTATGTGCATTTAAAAAAAAGATCTATAAAATGTTTCTTGATACCTATTTTTTTCTCATTGTAATATTTATAATCATAGTCGTTTCAGTTTAAGTTTTAATTGATTGCCAGCTCGTTATGTGAATAACAAGTAAGGTTTTTGTTGTCCTTTTTTAGGAAAAGAAACTAGGATTGGTCAACATTTCACCTCCTCCGACGAACTCCATCTATTTGAATCTGAGCGAAATAGGATATGGGAAGGTAATAAATGTTTCCGTTACACTTCAATGTCTTATCAAAATATCGAAATTGCTGTCACTGATGATGATGATGATGATGACGATAATGATGATGTAATGACAATAATGATAATGATGACGATGATAACAATGACGTTGGTGAATTAATGAATAATCGATTAATATGTCGGTAAATTCTGTCTGAAATAACCGAAGCTGATATAGCATACACTCCCTCGAATGCCTTTTTATTATTGAAGGGCCTTCCACTTGCCACGTCGTCTGGTGTCCTGTTTAGTTCCTTGAACAATCTGCAGCTCTAAGTACATTCTATAATTTGCTCATCTGATGTTCAGTATAATAATAAAAAAATAAAACTTTAATAAATACTCCCAAAAAAAGGTTTTTCAGTACCTATTTACAAATATAAATGCAAACTATATCTAACAGGCTAATATTGTTAAATGCTAACTGTCATTCAATCATTCATTCATTACAAGTTTCAGGGCTTAAAGGCCTTTACAGTTGTAGCGTTTCTAAGGTCTTCGTCTAACGTGTTCAACAGGGATACTGCTCTATAGGCGAAGGTCCGTTGGCCGGTGGCTGACCTGAATAATGGGATTTCGAACTTCTCATTATTACGGGTTGTGCGATTATGTACAGAAGATCGTTTTTTAAACTTAGCACATAGGTATTCAGGAACTAAATTGCTGGCACACTTATAAGCCATAACAGCGTCTCTGAATTTGAGCATCTTGCTAACTGGAAGCCGGTTGAGTTCGTCAAGTAATGGCGTCACGTGGTCATATTTCCGAGCGCCGCAGATGATTTTGCCGGGGAAATTCTGAATAAGTTACAGCTTTTGAATCTTCTTAGATGAGGTATTAGACCACACAGTCAGTAGTCTTTGCTGTCTCTCCAATTAAATGTACACATGAGTTTAGGGCACAGTCCGTTCAGAGTCAACGATAATATGCATGGGCTCCCCCAAATCTAGGGCAACTCAGATTTTTGAGCAGCAAGGGAAATTTGGGCAAAGCAAGTTTTTAAAGATCCAAAAACCTACTTTGGGAGCAGAGCTTTAATGACCGCCATTTGTGACTTGGAGTTTATCTTCGGACTGTGTGTGCTCAAAGTTATCCTGAGTAACAATAGTAGTCTGTGCAAGGTTGGGATTGTGAGAATTCTGTCAGACGTGCCATTTCCTAGGGAGGGAGAGATTTACTAGATCTTACTAGACTTCGCTTGTTACTGGCCCAAGACGTTTCCGTTGCGTGCCCATATATACTACTCGAATTTTGTTACAAACGACCTTCATCTGTGGATAATCAGGTGGCTGACCTGCAGCTGGAGCTGGGGCCATGAACGCCTGCTACGATGAGATTTCTCTAATTTCAAGCATTGTTCTGAGCAATTACTTAATGCCAGAGAAAGCAGAGTAAAAGTCTCCATTGTTCCATGTTACAAGAAACGCGGTCGCGTGGTTTTGGTTTTGGACTCTTTTTGATTTCATCTTTTGCATTTCCCCTTCAGGCAATCGACCACCGAAGGATCACACCAGCAGAAAAATTGAGCTGATGATGAGTCCCTTACCACTTATCGTCATAATGTGGTTCATGGCAGCGATCGGCATCATCTGCTCGTTGAGCTTTCTATATTTTAACATTAGTAAAAGTAAAAACAGGTAGGACTTTAACCATGCTATTTCTGACCTTTTCCAATACAAAACACATTCTCAAGCAAAAGCCTTTTTGAATAGTTTCCGATCTCTAATCTCATCTTGCATTAAATATAGGAGTTCTTTGTCTATTAACATCTTTTATTTTGATTTTTCTATTTTGCCAGGATAATCAAGATGTCGTCGCCTAAACTTAACAATATTATTATTGTGGGATGCATCTTGTGCTACGCCTCCATTGTTTTGTTGGGTTTGGATGCGAGGTTTCTCGATTTGCAAGGTTATGGCATCAACTGCAACGTAAGGAAATTTGGTCCAAGAAAATCAGTCATAAAATAGAAAACATATTCTGTAATGCGGGAATCTATCTTTTCGATGCATAATGTGATTGTTAATTTTGACGTTTAGAAGAGAGCGGCTCGCATATCAGGGGCGGATCTAGGGGGAGGGTGCAGGGGGTGCGCAGCCCCCCCCCCCCCTTTGACATGACCTGCAGTTTTCTAATACAACTGGTATTCTGCAAAAAAAAAACTATGTGGTTTATTGGTGTTAAACAAGTAGAGCAAGAGATGAGTGCACCCCCTCCTAAAAAAAATCCTGGATCCGCCCCTGCATATGATCCCCTTTGAAATTGCTTTTACAGCCCGCTTATTAGAATTTTCATCTTGACCGTGTTTCGAACGGAGTGAGTAGAGTCAAATGGAAAGAAGTATCAATTGAAGTACTAATCTGAATGAATGGTTTGTACTAATCATCAGGTTATGAAGCTTTCATAGTTTTAAAACTTTGCATCGGTTTTTTTGCTTACTAACAGGTGAATACTTCAGTATTCTCTATTGGATTTTCTCTATCATTTGGTGCTATTTTCAGTAAGACTTGGAGAGTAAACAAGATATTTACCGCCGCCAGGGTTAACAAGAAAATGGTACGATGATGGTATGATGTAGGAAACATTTATCTTCCATCCTTCTCGAGCGCTCAGACGTTTTCTCAATCAGGCAGATTTGAATATACATACTTCATAGTTAAAGGGCGGCACTTCTCAAGTTTCAAATACACTATAAGTTACCTGTAGGGTGCTGTGGGATTCATAATCGATGCCAGATATGTGTTTCAGTTTCAAAGCGCTTATACTATCGTTTTTAAAGATATATATCAGACGCGGATCTATGATTAAACGAGTGCCGAAGGCGCAAGCTTCTAGGGTATCCCGGGGGCATACTCCCCCGCGAAAGTTTTTGGATTTTAACTCCCTAAAGTCCCTATTTCCTGGGTTTCCGAGTCATTCAGACGGGATAATTTACAAGTGATTTTCCAGCTAAAAATCTCATGGCGTGTCTTATGCCCGGAAATTGGGAAAAAAACATTTTCTAAACCATTTTCCAGATTTCAACCTGGAAAGTTTTTTTTATAATAAAGTATATTTATTATGAAAAATCTGACCGATTTCCGTAAAACGGTAGCCTGCGAACGACAGACGTTTCTTCTCGCTCATCGCCGCTGAGGGACGTTTCGCGAGGAGGAAAGACGTCCCTCCTCGCGAAACGTTCCTCAATGGCGATAAGCGAGGAGAAACGTCTGCCGTTCGCAGGCTAGTAAAACGATGGAAACCAGTGTGAATCCGCGCTTGTATTATCCCTTTAAGTCCCACGATCCACTTACAGATTCTCAAGACTGATCTCCATACATTACCTTGAGGAATACTTTGAAGCAACAGAAAATGTTTACCGTGTTTGCATAGCCTGATATAAACACGAGAGGGGTTGGGAGGATTCCATCCTGGGAGACCCAGGGGCTGTCAGTCGGACCGTGTTAAAAGGCGCGACGAAAGTGTGCTTGAAAACTTTTGTGCGCCTTTTCTCCCGGCCCGACCGACCGCCCCTGGGTCTCCGAGGATGGGAGAATTCGAGACACTTATGCAAACCCTCGACTTCGTCTCGGTTTTGCGTAACCGTCGAGAATTCTCCCAACCCCTGGAGTGTTTATATCAGGCTATGCAAACACAGGAAAAAAGTTTTCTATTGCTTTTATAAAATAACTTTCCCGAGAAAAAAATGCAAAACTATCTTGTTTAAACCATTGATTAAAATAGAAATTGTTACCAGTCGCGAAGTCTTGCACACGAAGATTGTACGCGTAATAAGTCTTTGTTTTCCAAAAAAAGATGCTTTCCAAAATACGGGTTTTTCTCGCTTAAAATGTCAGCTCAAGAAAAAATAAATTGACCCAGCATGTTTCTAAAGATATGTCAAGTTTCAACCGACGGGGAAATAAAGTAAACTTGTAGAGTTTTTCAACTGAAAACCTTTTTTAAATTCGTGCTTGCGTGATTAGCGCGCGAAAAGCAAAACATCTTAACGTCACAACCATGTTTACATACTCTCATGCAAACACGCCTCTCGGCCAATCACAAAGCGCGTACTATCTTAGATATTTTATAAATGTCTATCAGTGCTCCTGATGGCTTCACGAAGAAGGGTCATTAAACCCCTTTGAGCCTTCCCCTTGGTCTGCTACGGCACCTTATATGTAGTTCCTGTTTTCTAGGTACTTTTTTTCAAGTGTAGTTAAAAGTAATGGAAATAGACTATAGCAGGGTGGGGCTGGGTTAGTGGCACGCGGTCTCTGGCTACTTTGACTTTTTTTTGCTTGGTGTAAAACGTAATCAAGTTTCACGTGCTTATTACCACAGGCTATAAAGGATCGTCATCTTCTCGCCATTGTGGTAGCGTTATTAGCAGTGGATGCAGTTTTCTTATCCTGTTGGATTATCATTGACCCTCTCCAAGCTGAAGAGTTGAAATTTGAAGAACTGGTAAAATAAAATCCCTTTAAAGTTCAAAGTTTTATGAGAAACAATCTCACTAGATACAATACACGTTAATATACAAGGACCTATTACGTTCGGGATAGACTCGGGATATGGAAGAGTGGGTCGCTGGCCATACTATCGAAATGTTCTTAGATTATAAGTAAATAAGTAAAATAACAATTTAGAAGTAGCACATCCAAAGACTGGTTCGTCGTCTACCATTCCTAGTCGAAATGGAATTTGAAAATGTTGGTTTTTGAAATGAGAGGGGAAACCGGAGTACCTGGAGAAAACATCTCGGAGCAAAGGAGACGGAACCAACAACAAACTCAACCCACATATGGCGCGGACGCCGGAATTTGAACTTGGTCCACATAGGTGGGAGGCTAGTGCTGATTTTGAATGCACACAATACTAGGAATGTGGAATATCTCTTGTTATGAGAATAGTCTTTTTTCAATTCCTGAAATAAGCATAGTGTCGCTTCCACGTAGGCTAATTTTTCTAGTGGAGAAGAATAAAATTAGCATTACCTCCTACTTTCTGATTTTCTGAACAATTTTTTTGGAGGAATGGCGAACAATAAACTTTTCAAAGCCTGACAATAGGTAATTTTTCGTTTTTAGAGCCGAAAGGAACAAGACGCATTCGTCATTCCAGCATTATACCACTGCACCAGCGCATACAAGACCAAAATTGTGGCAGGCCTGCTTGCCTACAAAGGAATACTTGTTCTGTTTGGGCTTTTTCTGACCTGGGAGACACGCCATGTCACTATTCCCGCCTTAAATGACTCTAAATACATTGGGATGTCTGTTTATAATGTTGTTGTGCTTGGCATCATTGGTCTGGTCGTGACGTTTGCATTTGATGGATCTACCCACTATGTGGTTACTTACGCAATCTCATCTTCCTGTGTTATTGTTTGCACTACTGTTACACTGTTGCTGGTGTTTGTTCCAAAGGTAAGTCGAAAAACGAAGCTCCCGTCACAGTTATAATTTACTTTAAAGAGTGAACTTAGAACTGTACCATATGACGTTTGAGGGAGGCGCACAAAAGACAAGAAATAATTGCTGCTGGAAAAAGAAGTTGAACTTGAGCCTGAAATTAACTAAAAGCTTATAACTGGTCAGGGAAAAGTGACCTAAAAAAAACACGTTCCCTGGATTTAAGCCCTTTATAAGTTGAAACCTGAGCACGCGATACGGTCTTGTGATACTGGTCAGCGGATAACCTTTTCTGACGGCTGTCAATTGACCTTAACATGGAGGACGTCTTTCATCAATTGTTAACACAAACGTTGCAGGGTCCCACACAAGCTAAAAAATGTCATTTCACCTTGACCTTGAGAAAAAGGCGTGCACCCCGATCAAAATGAATCTTATCTTACTCAGGGCCTCAGCCTTGCAGGTCCTGTTTTGGTCCTAAAATAAGGGAAACCTCGGGCTCCCAAGGCCCTCTGCCCCCATGTCAGGGAGTCATTCCCCCCAAACAAAAACAGGAATTGGAGTATCTTTTACCGAGTTGGGTTCTCCCTCTCTTAATTAACCCTCCCTCCTCTTTATTTTGCCCTTTGACCATTAAGTCCCGCAGGCGCAGTTGTTCCCTTTCGTAGACGGTCTCTGCCATTTTAAGACACTTAGAAAATTTTAGACCTGTTATTGAGAGCGTTTCTAATAAGGAGAAAGAAAATCGCAACGCAGGGTCGAACTCCGACCTTTCGTCTCCTTATCTCTCACTCCGTTACCACTACACAACCACACCGACTCGCCAAAATTCCGAAAAATTTTAAGTACATAAGCCAACAAACTGTTTTTCTTAACTGATACATCAATAACAGGTGACCCTAGTACTTTCCATAACTTTTAACGTAAATTCAACTTGGGCTTCAACGTAGTTCTTTCTATAAGAATATTTTCCTGATTGTAACTTAATCCAGAGAGTATATTGCATCTACTATGTCTAAAAGCTTGGTTACCAGTGATGACATCGACCGTTTAAAATGGCAACCACCGTTTACGAAAGGGAAATAGGCCCCGCCGACCCCGTTAAAAATGTTTAAAGAAAAAAGTTTCTTCCTCGTTTTACAAGTGATCTCGCTAAAATCTCTTTTGTTTTTCTTTGACCGCCGGAATTTTATTCACAGTAGACGGTCTAGTCGGTCTAGTCAGTAGAAGATTCAGTACCATACCGACAAAGTAGAACAGAAAAGATTGTCTCGTTTACACTGCTGGTTCTTAGAGATTTGTGATTAGGGAATCAGGAAAATGGATTGGAAAGAGAAAGATAAAAAGGAACAAACTACAGTACCACTTAAAACAACAAAGCTCCACTTTGGTCTAAGGACCGATTTCTCTCAAGGCGGAACTTATTGACACTTTTACTACAAGAGAGAATAAGATTATTCTCTCTTGTGTTACTTATACTGCCACAAATATTTTTTGGGGGCAAGGAACACTAGAAAGATAACACATTTTTCATCTCTTTATTTCTTTGATAAAACAAATCTAAAATCCAATGATTGCTTTGTTACAGTAGCCTCGTAGATTCCCAATGCAACATACGTCCTTTACGTTTTTTCTTTCGTGCGAAGCTCCGAGGCTGCTGTAAAGGAAAGTCCAATTACAAGAAGTGATATACAGTCTAATTATCTGTCTGTATTTAAAGATTTACCAGTTTCGAATGAAGGAAGAAAGAAGCATCACCTCAGACTTCAGGATGCAAGCCGCTGCTACAAACAGTGCACATAGTCAGAATCTCAACGTGACATGCGCACACTCTTCGCCAGAGGTGCATTTAGCATGTGCCTCACCCACCAACCGGTCATAAGGCACCCGTGAGGAGGGGGAATCCCAAGAATGGCCTATACGGTGAAGGTTCCGCCCAAAAGAGATCTTTTTTAGGCAGAGTAGGAAATTCACGAGTTCATGTATACGAAAGGGTAGAAAAATCTATCATTTCAGTATCACAAAAGTCCTTTAATGTAAATGTTTACTACTAATAATAATAACCTATATTTTAAGAGGGTGACACCAATTACTATGAAAAGTATTCTCCCTAGTGGCCCTCTAAAAACAAAATTGATAATAATAAATTACAACAATCATGATAAAAAGCCTATTTACAAATTGTAATTATAATAAAAGATCTTAAGAATTCCAGTATTCTCCCTCCCTAGTGGCCCTCTAAAAACAAAATTTACAACAATCATGATAAAAAGCCTATTTACAAATAGTGATTATAATAAAAGGTTCTTGAAAATTCTAAAGATTTAAAAACTTGAGAGATGTTAAAAACGGAAGTGAATACGTTGGTAAAAAAGGGGAATCCAATCTACAATGACATTAAAAAAAACGGATTTATAAAAATCAGAAAATGAAAATGGGGAAATCTCTAATAAGCTCGCTTCTCAATCCCCGCCACTACTCCTCCCAAGTAATGACAAATTTTAAATTTAATTAAAAAATCGTTTTTACTTGTAATTCATTGTGTGGCAAAATAATAAAATAAAATAAAATAAAATAGAATAACTTTTTAACTTTAAAATTGTCCACCGTATAGTTTGAGGCGACGTTATTAGTCAGTGTTGTCTTCATTAAGCTAAAGGAGGTGGTTGGTTCTGAGTTAAGAGCATTTAGTGGAATAAAAGAATGTTCTCCTTATTGCCTCAGTTCTGGGTTTCGGTAACCGGTATAATGTTTTTGTTCTGGTAGAGTACTTGTGTTCAAACCGAAGTGAGTCCAAAGTTGTAATTAAGTATTCCGGTGCCCTACTATCAATAACTTTCCTCAAAAGGCCGAGTTTATTGAGCTTGAATAGTTGATCAACTGGTAGCCACTTAAGCTTTTGAAAATTATCATACGATCGTGCATCCCGACGACTATCCAAAATTAATCGAGCGCAGCGTTTTTGAAGTTTAAACAGTTCATCTAAATTGCTTTGGCTACAGTTGCTCCAAACAGTACAGCAATAAGAAAAGAGCGGTTTGATACTTGCATTGTAGGGAAGCAATCGATATTTGGTTGGTATATATTTCCGAGCTCTTGCTAAAATTGCAATTCTTTGAAGTAGTTTTCGGCGCAATGTGTCAATGTGTTCGTTCCAGGTGAGATGACTATCAATATATACTCCTAAGACATGTTCTGACTCAACCTTAGTGAGTTGCATGCCGTCAACTGAGAGGTCAAGACATTTTTTTGCTGAATTTGCAATTTTTTGTCTTGTCGAGATTATACTGTACTTTGTCTTTGCTGGATGCATTTTCATTTTATTTTCCTTTGCCCACATCGATACCGCGTCAATGTCAGGTCTAAAATTCTCCTCGACTTCAGCTAAGGTAGGTGCAGATGCATGAAGGGTCGAGTCATCGGCATAAATGCCAATATTATTCTTCAGTACTAGAGACAGATCATTTATGAAGAGCAGAAAAAGAGCAGGACCAAGAATACTTCCCTGCGGTACACCGGAGTGAATACCGAGCGGTTCAGATAGTTTACCGTCAACACATACCTTTTGATACCTTCCGCTGAGATAACTTTGGAACCATTTGAAGGAGTTAGTGTTCAAACAATATACCTGAAGTTTCTTGAGCAGCAGTTTATGGTCTACAACGTTGAAAGCTTTGCGCAGATCGATCATAACAACACCAGTAAAGAGGTCTTTATCCATTGCTTCTTAACCTGAGATTAGGCCCAATTTTAGCGGTTTTCATACATTCTCTCTAATGGCCAGCGCTAAAATTGGGCTTGATACAAACTCTCTCACGTTTGTGCTCGTTACGGCCGGATTTTGGCCGTAACGCTGATTAGCTGTTAGAACAATGCCACAAGATCTGATTGGCTGTCGGAAACGCCGGAAGTTGAAAGCGCTTATTCCTCTTGTGGTTGTTTTCGTGAATCATCCGTCGTCGGCGAAGAGAAAGGTCGATTTTGCTGTTTTTTTTATTGTTTGATGGTCTTATGGTAGGAAAATATGCCCTAATATGTACCATGGAAATTCAGAAAATTCATATGGTTGTTCATATCTTCTCTGGATTTGCTTTATTTAAGGAAACAGTCAGTTTTGTTCTCCCAAGAGTCCGGATAAACATCAGGACTCCAGGGAAAGCAAAACTAACTGGTTTTCCTAGGGACTTGACTTTAAGTGTTTTGTTATATTTCTAGACTTTCACTCATCAACAGCAACAAAAGAATAACCGGAGCGAACCGAAACAATCGACTCGGTATACGTACTTATAACAACTAACAACACAAATTTAATTCTTAAAACTACTTAATGAATGATTTACAAAGTCCTGTCCTTATATTATCTGCATCTTTTTCCTCCACTAGCTGCTGTTTCTCTCCTGGGATGACTTTAAAAAGCGTTGCTTTTCAGCTTGAGGCTTCGTGTTTGTGTTGTTGTGTTCATTCTAACCCTATGAGATCAGGCTCTATTTTCGTTTCGCTTTGAAAATAACATTCCGGCGGGCAAGGCGAAACGAAAACCAATTTTAGCGGTAGCCATTGGAGAGAATGTATGAGAACCGCTAAAATTGGGCCTGATCTCAGGTTATATTCATTCACGTAAAAGAAAAACTGACAGCGTTTTTCCCGCCTTCTGTCACGCCACTTTCCACCATGCTTTGATCACGTGCTGTAATGTAGCCCTAGCGGGGCACATTGCTTAATCATGTTAATGTTTCACGATCGGGATACATTTGATTTTAGTCAAGGCCACGTTACCAAGAATCAACCAATGGCAGGCCCTGTTCAGTTAAGTGAAAGTCTAGGAATATAACACTTTTCTGAGATCGATTTGGGATCGATCCAACCTGCATCGCTTCAGGAGGTGGTGTGAGATCGGTCTAAGATCGATCTACATTGTCCCGTGTTCAGTGAGAACGCAAACACGCCCTGGAGGCGATCCAGCTTAGTAGCCTTCCCTCATTGAGAGTCACGTAAGCCAATCGCACGTGAGGGGTGTTGGTTTTGCAAGTTGCATAAAAATGTCTGCAAAAAACTAGAACAGTGGAGACAAGAGCTCTTATCGCTGCTTGGGGTAACCGTCGGATTCAAGATAAAATATGGACAAAAGTCAGACGCAGACGTTTATGCGGACATCGCAAAAGCTGTAAAGAAGTTTAGTCTGACTATTCCATGTACCATCGGGCAGTCCGCTGTTACTGTGTAACCTATGCCTGCACACTGGCTCCCTAAGAATTTATCTTCTCCTCGTTTCTTATCTAATCTCCAAGCAACCTTGAGTTAACACTTTAAGAATGTCTTGTTACTGGGCTGCCTGTGTGGCCCAGTCATAAAATGGGCTTTCGGTCGTCTGCGGCGAAAAACGGCCTCCCGGGGGAGGGAAGACACGAGGGTCTGGTACCGAGAAACAATGTTCTCACAAATGGTTTCATATGATTTTCTCTTGCACGGACCCTTGCACGGATACTTTTTGTGCCTCGTCTGCGCTCCCCCTGAAAAACCCACAAAGCGTTGCGAACCTGAAGAAGGCTATTTGCGTTGTTCGAAGCGATTCGATCATGGGATTCACTCTATAATTTTTTTATTGTTCGAATTTGAGGCAGTCAGATGATGTTGGCGCTGGGAAACTCAGAGAAATGCTCGCGTTGCATTCAAACCGACACGCCGTTCACGGTAGGTTTACACTAAAAGATGACTGTGAGCGTCAGGTTTGGAACGCCGTGGCCGCTTCGTGAACTCAAAGAGAGAATTAGGGAGCATTCATAATTTATCTAGAGGGTGGGCTATGATGATTTCCTTGTTTTTTCCTTTCATTTTTTTGAAGCCCCCCTGATCATCTCCGGGTTTTTTTTCTGACCCCCCCTCAAGAGATGTTGATTTATCAAAGGAACATATCATAGCCCCCCCCCCCCCAGCACATAACTACAACATGTCAAACTCACCCTTAGCCATATCAAAGTCTTGTGACAGGTACATTGAGCTTTGTTAGTAATTAACATAGTAAATCAGTAACAACTTGCACTAATGAAATGGTGATATTTCAAGATGTCAATTTATGAAAATATTATGTTCGGTGCAATTAAATCTCTACGCATTTTTAATTCAAAATTGTTCTACTTTGGGCATTTGGACAGTTTCGGAACTTGACTTATATTTGAAGAATCACTCGTTACCTTGGAAAAAAAAGCTGAAAAAAGAAAAACTGGAACTGAAAGAGACTAGGGCTGAGGCATTGAGAACCATGACTGTAACAGGGCAACGTCTTTTACAAGAGCCAGAAGCAGTCTCAGATGATGATGATGATGATGATGATGATGATGATGATGACGAAGGCAACAACACTATCTTGGGGGAAACACGGAGTGAGGAGAGTGAGAGTGAGGAGGGTGACGAGAGTGAGTTTGAGCCACTCGCAAAGAGACCTTGTAGCACAAGAAGTGGGCGTCATGCATCAAGTTTCATACTCTAGTTCCGTATCAACATTTTGTCGAAATGAAATAAAAGACAGGAATTATAAGAGCGTCCAACAGCATATTTTCATTTCCTTTTCTTTTTCAGGAAAAAAATGGTTGCCCCCCCTATAATTTTCGTTGGAAATTTTCCACAGCCCCCCCTAAATCATAGTAGGGAAAAAGGGTGACCCCCCCTCAAAATCATCATAGCCCACCCTCTAGGTAAATTATGAATGCTCGCTTATCGATCAATGTAGTACATGAGCAATTAAGAAGAACAATTTATGAGCAAGGTATTTCACAGGTGACACTATGGCTGAAGACTTGATTGTAAGCCTTCGTAGTCAGTGAAACGAACAACTCAGTTGCCGGTGAATGGCACTACGCACGTCCATGAGCGAGGGACGTGACAACTTTGCCATGTTAGAAGACTGGCTTTTCCTTTAAATATTTCCTTCTATTTAATGCAACACACGCCACTTTGGAGGTCTAAATTTCGGATACTGAGGATAAAGAAGACACGGACAAAAATAGGGACTCTGAGAATTTCGCACACAAGTTTAAAGCTTCACCGGGACATCCCATCCGGGAGCTTCACAGAGAGCGACTTGAGGAAAATAGGAGCTATTACTGACAAGGTTTGGTGACTGAGTAGAGCATACAAGTGTAGCCCACGTCGAGGTTTCAGGGGTTTTGCTTTTATTTGTATTTGTATCTTGCTAAGCTTTTATCATTAAATTTGTACATGATCTTGTGATCACAATTCTGTGTTTTCGCCCATTCAGCAAGCACGCTATATTGATGTCAGCATTTATAGCGAGTTTCAGAAACATGCCTTTAAAAGTTTTCAGCTCTCGTGATGTTTCTTGATATTTCTTTTATCATTTTATGGAGATGTAAACTGAAGTCACGGCAAAATGGAAACTTAAAAAAGCGTATAATCCATTTATCTCGAAACAACACACATGACTTATACGACCTTTATTTTCGTAAAGGTGTTTTGAATACGAACGAACACAGTCAATGTGAGGGCAAAAACAGCATTAATATAAATGAACCATAGGGTTTTAACTAATATAAGGGTCAATTATTGTGCACTGAGATGAATCGCTTGAAAAGAGAGACTTCGCTTGAAGATGTGATCAGAAGTAAACAAAGGCATAATAGTGCATCACGTTCAGTCTTTTTAATGAATTTAATATCCAAGGAGTCACTGTGAATAGTGTTTCCATATTGCTTAGCTGGCACAAAAACTTCGGACGAGTTATAAAGCGGCATAGTTATCTTCCATGAAGAAAAGTTCGGCTTGGGTGAGACAAACAGAACTGGAGCGAATTTTTAACTCGCATCGGTATCAGGTAAAAAATATGTTATCGATCGTTTCATCTATTTACATTGTTTGAAGTGCGTGCTGGTGAACGCAACATGCGAGCAAGAAATCTTTAAACTTTTTTAGGTCTCAAAATGCAAAGGATTTTATTCCTTTAAGTTAGAGAAAAATACCATGAGGAAAATCTTAAAACTGAATATTTTTAATCTTGTGGAAAAAATAGTGCGTTTTCTTGTAGACTGTGGACCGCAAATTAGGATCACACTTTTCACAAACATGCGAATTCTCAAGTTCAGAAGCCAACCGACGATTGCGTTTTTCGCTGGTGTCAATCATCTTAACGGACCTCTTAGGAAACAAAACTTTACTTCACGGGTTCAAAAGGTCATGGTTTGTGATTTGTGGATTTCAATGGGCAGTTAACTGTCTGTTTTAGTATACTTCTGGTTTTCATACAAAACAATATTTCTGTCTAGTGTAAATCAGCTCAGTCTGTCGCATTTTATGCTCGTAGAACGACAACAATTTTTGGAATTTCCAGTTACATCAAATTAGTCACGTTATACTGTCACGCTATATTTTGGGGCACAGAGGGATTGGGGGAGGGGTACGTGGAAATAATGCAAATTGTTTCCTATTTAGAATTAATGGCTAACTTGTTCATTTTTATTCATAATGGTGGAATTTAAAAGTTATTATACAGCCCCCAATTAAAAATGGTACTCTTTTTTTTGGTTAGGAAAGTCTTTCAAAAGGGTACAATGTTCTGAATGAGTTTATGTTTCAGTCTCACATGAGGTTCTGTCGCATGCAATGGTTGCCGACAAGGTTTTATGGTAGCCTGAGTGTGTATAGCCGCCCCCTCCCTTCAGAAAAAATAGCCCCTTTGCAGCCCAATTAAAAATCGCCTTTCGGCGATTCTTGTTTTACTCTTAAAAGCGAGTCGCTCAATGGTTCCCTCCCTCAGAGCAGAACCTCTGTTTTTCTTCTCGATTGAGGGGTAAAGAAGGCTCTGTCTGAATCGCATCAAAACTTTGAAGTCGCTACAGCCCGAACTTCTGGACTAGTTAATCTTTTGTTCTCGCGTGAAAAGGACTTTTCGAATGCGAGCATACGTTTTTTGATAAACCGATGGTTATAGCTGAGTCCCCTGTACCAAGCGCACGATGAATAGGCCTGGGTTCGAAACTGTATCCTAGCAGCTTGCAGCGCATACACAACAATACGTCAAAATCGACCTAGAGGAAAAAAGGCTCTGCTGGCAGCATGGCTGGTTGCTAACAAACTGAACGTTACAATGGAATTCTTACTTTTTGAACCTCCTGGGGAAAAGGAAATCGGGTCCAACAACCGCGAGTAGTGTGGAAGTTCGGGGTAAGATTATTAGAGAGCTCCCCCGGGGCTTTAGATTTGAGGAGGAGAACGAGTACGAGATTCAACTTAAAGTTTTTGCTTGTTCCAAAAAAAAAAAAGAAAAAAAGACACCCCGAAAAGCTTCGCTTTACTTTTTTTTGGCCAAAAAAGTTAAGACGGTTATTTATACTGAAGGAGGTCAAGCTCTCTCCCGATAGCAAAATGAGGAAACTTCTTACATCCGCCCCTACGACCAGGGCGGATAAATATCCGCCCTGCCTACGACATTCTAGCTAAAACTCGAAGTAGAATGACGACGGCTATCGCATTTTCCCGCCAAAATAGGGACTTTAAGATCCAACGACGCGACGGCAATGAGAACGTCGCTTAAAAAGTGAATTTGCGTTCTTTCAGTCTTTATAGAAATTATTCCTACCCACTTACTTTGTCAAATGTAGGCGAACCCTCCTGGAGTTGAATTCCTGAGCACCTTATCCAAGTGCAGAAAGAGAAACAAAATTTCGTCGTTGCTTGTTTACGTCCTCCTTAAAACGCGAAATAAGGCATGTTCACGTCGTAGTCATGCAAAAACGGGTGGAGAAATGTAAAAAAAAGCGTGGCGCACGTGCAAAGTTGTTGTTTTGCAAATACAACCCATTGTTTTATTGACGTTCTCTTTGCCGTCCACGTCGTTGGATCTTAAAGTCCCTAATGACGCTGGTTTACGCGTGAGCAATATTCAGTATTGATAAAATCTCGTTCTCGTAGTCGTCCTCGTCTCGGAATCTAAAGCTCTCTAGTGTCTGACTAGGGTTTTAGTTCGAAATAACTAGAGGTTCAATAATCCCGGGGTTCGAGAATTTGAGATTCTACTGGATGAAATGGTTATACGATAAATACGGTCAAATGCGGTTACGACAAACGCATGTTAGGTAACTGGTAACCCAGCAGATTTATTCACGAAATCTCTTTTTTGGACTACTGCATGTGTACATAAAAGTTAAACGTGAGCTGTGTGCTCGATTAAAGGATGTGATGCTAAGAAGTAGTCGAAGGCGTTTTACTAGCCTGGGAGCAGGCTCTCTTGTGCGGGTAGGGAAAAAATTCATTGGAAGCGGAGTCGCCGGCGCGCGAGAACAATGGGGCAAGGAATGTGCTGCCCAGAACTCGCACAAGTCAGCCTGCTGGCAGGTTAGAGATTTACCATACCTCACTATGACTTCAGCCTTAGGCCATATAACTATTAAGGTGTTTCATTTTCTCTTCAGAAACAACGGCTTAACGCGGTGTAAGTGAACAATTAATTCAAATGTATGAAGTAATAAGTTGGTTTGATAAAGCTTCTAAAATCACTATTGTAAAGAGGATCAATGACTCGATTGTGTTTGGCACACAGCTACCATGCGTGGCACACGAGAACAAATGGAAAAAAAGGTTGTAATTCGTCTCTTTTGTAAAAGGGATTATTGAGATGAAAACACAAAACAAGAAAGTAGAAATTGTCAGCTTTGATCGATTCAATTGCGCTGTTTCACTGGGGTCATCTCCATCGAACTTTTGTCTCCACGCTACCAGGAGAGTGGACTGTACAATAGGCCTTATTTGGGGCGCGAGATACCCACCTGAGCACAGGGTGCAGAAGTTTTATTTGACACAATGACAGCGTGATGCAAATAACCATTGAGAATAGGTTTTTTTATATAATATAACTATGGAATGTTGCCACGACAAAGCGATTTCCTCTGTACCCCGTGCTTGAGGATCTAAGATAACGCCCGCTATGCAGGCTACGAGAAGAATCGCAAAATCTGCTGCAATCAAGTCAGACTCATCTGCTTTTTACAGAAGATGTAACTTAACAGTTCTATTCCAGGGAAGAGGGTACATTCCCAGTCCAACGTGAGTCACGGAATGTCCACAGTGTACTCTTGAAAGCTGCTGCGCTTCCCTGTCTACCGGTGTTATTTTCCGTTCAAAATGTCCAATGCCTCTTTAGGAGGGAGTGTGTTAAAATAGCGAAACCATGTAAAGAAATTACTTTCTTCGTTTGCTTGGTCTCTGGAACGTTTGTTTGCTTCCACCAGCGCGAACAGTGTGGAACTTCATAGCCAGAGTGTTATCCTGCGTCCAGGGCGAATCCATCTAAAAGAAAGACACGAGAATAAAATACAAGGCATCAAGAACGGATATGGTAACTCTGTTAATTCTAATTTAGTTTTCAGTAGGTAGCAGGTCGTCTCGCTCGAATTTAGGTCGATTCACGCAGTAATAGTGTGCGGTTTAAACAAACATGGGTGGCAGCTCTGGCTTTCTCACTCTTTTGTATTAACGAACGGCTAGAAAAAATCTTGCTCAGCTAACGCAGCGACTAAAAGGTGACACGTCTCTCAGCCTTGCGATCGACGCGCGCAATACCGGATGTATAGGCCTTTGGAACGAAAAAGCGACAAAATGTGTTTTTCCTTTTGACCCAGCTTTGACGCAGTAAAAACCACTGACGGGATACTGGAAAAATTACTTTTTAAAATACCATTCAAGGAAAGCCCTCAGACCCTTTGCTATTATATTGCTGACGTTGTAGTGAACTTGAAAGAAACTTTAACAGGTTTAGTCGTGGCGTAAATGGAACACAAGAGGGACAACAGGTCCCTTCAGTTGTTTAAAGGTTACAGCCTTACGGAGTAAAGTTTCATAAAAACAAGTGAATCTCATCAAAGACCAGTTTCCAATACCGGAAGATACTTCACAGGGGTATGAGGAAGCAGTTTAACCAGAACGGGTATTGTTCCAAATGACTTACCTGTGTTGTGTCTTGCTCCACCAAGTGGGTGTATTTTGTCCTACCTGACCGGCCAAAGTTTTTCACCTGAGGGAAACAAGGAAGTACGTTACACCTTCAAACATTTAGAAAAAGGTAAGGAAATCAAACAAGCAAATTTCAGAGTAAAAGAAACCTCCATATTAGGCTCGATTTCCGCCGCACTCCTTGGTCCGGTCTTGTCCGGACTGATTTCCCAAACAGCGGCTGCATAATAATCGAGCCTAGCGCCATATAAATGACCTGTTGCAAACTTCTTGATTGAGTTACACATCTAAGAAAAAGTCTGTTTCCTTTTGTTTTTTATTTTTGGTTCCTTCTTTTCTGCGGAAACGGTAACTGTCTTACAGCCGTCTTAGAAATAATAGAGAGATATAAAGGATATATGTGTGCTGTTTCACTGAATTACACGCACTGACCTGCATAACTTTTGGGATAACTGTTTTATCAAAGTGATCTTCGAGTGTAGGTTTTGCAAAGTCTCGTTTGTAGACGTCGTCCTCTTCGTCCTGTGAAGCAAGAAAAAATATATATGTTAAAATATAGAACCAGTACAAATTTCTCAGATCACAGTGCGAGGCTTTGACAAATACTAATTTTAATAGCTTTTCAACCAAACATTCTCATGGCCATTTAACCAACTTATGGTGTGCGCTCTTAGACCACGGTTTACAACAATCAGTGCGCCTCGACATCTTTTCATAAGTTGGTCGTTTCAAGAGGATAAATAACAATTATTCCCTATCAACGGTGGAAACATGAAGTAAAACACACACATGAACTGTAGACTAAAGATAAAGGTGGATATGATCCTCAAAGTTACTAGACCAAGCTTAGCGGATTCCCAAAAACACAACAGAAATCGAACAATTATTCACTGAAGTGGAGGTGGCTAGTGGGTGGATATTATATCAGGCAAATGATACACCTGTCGGCAAGGCAAAAAAGGGGTCGAGCGTGAGTTGAAAGTAAAATCGAAGCTTTGTCTTCAGAGACTTATTGAAAATTTTAACCTCTAGAGGATAATTAGCCAAGAAACTAACGGAAAAGTAACCTATCCAACTAAGGTGCTGGTGAAACGAGCCGGAACATGGCTACCTTTGCTGAGATGACTTTTATTCCGGTACAGTCGAACCGCCACTAAAGGCCACCTGTCCACAAAGGCCACTTTCTTCTGCCTCCAAGGTGGTCATTGTGGAGAAGTTCTACTGCATATTTACACCATTTTGACACCAGTATTCCAGCTAACCAGGCGGCTGGCTTGGATGCAATGTTATCGCGAAGTTGAGTTTTGTTGCTTTTAATTAACATGCCGCGATCTTTACAAAGCGAGTCTATCTGTGGGGCTTTTTTTCAAATCATACATACCCAACCCCTTCTCCACCCCACAAAAAACGCTGGACGCGTGTATCCAAAACTTTTTCGTGTTTCAACATTGTATAGGGTGTGGGGAGGGAGAACGGCAAGATATTTTTGAAAAGGCCACACTGCGTTATGAGGGAACCCTGAATGTACAGAAAATTCACTGTTCCAAGGACTTTTGTCCGGAATTGCAGCTGAGTGCAGTGAAACGGGAAATCAACTTACCAAAAAAAAGGCGCCACGATGATAGTATTTCTGTAAAAAGCCGTATTTTCCTTTAACAGCTTTGTTCGTGATAACTTTAGGATTGTTCCTAACTTCACTTCTCCACTGATCTTCAGTAAGATCATGAAGACGTTCGACTTCCTGTCTTTCTTTCTCCATTCTAAACGTAAGAAAGAAGAATCAACGAACTGTAAAGGTTGCAAGCAGAGTTGAGTTGAAATTAACTGCGGCAAGATAAGCTGCTGCTCCAGTCGGTAGAGCGGTTGACTGCAGAGCGGGAGGTCGCGGATTCAATTCCCAGGGCCGGACCAATACTCAGAGTCTTAAAATAACTGAGAAATGAAGGTACGAGAGAGTTTAAGCTTCACGTGTATAGCAAAAGGCAAACGTCAGATTCAAGGTGAGAATTTCTCAAAATAGAAAATGAGCAGATAAAAACAGGTCAAAACAATTCTTATGGATGAAAATTACGTGAAATAACTAATTTAGGTGTAGAAATAATGAACAGCAAACGACGAGGAAACTTGCTCACGTGGTGCAATTTCGCGTTTGCCGTAAACGTGATGCTTAACCTTTCTACTGCCTTTTGTCCTGCAAACGGCAAGAACTTCGCGTGGCTCAGATGACCTCATGAAATGGCGGTTCCGTGTTCAGTAAGAGACGTATTCTAGTGTCCCAGTTAGTACTTTCGTACTAAATACATTGACACGCAAATAAGTTTATCAACTGAGTTTATAAATTATCATCGCAAAAGAATTAAAAGTAGATGTTTCCTTTGCCATTCCTTTTAATTCATTCAAGTTATTAGTAGATAGATTTATCTTACTGTTCTCTTTCATCTCTATCTCTTTTGATCCGTTTGAGTTCGCGAACTTTCCACGCCTCATACTAAAAGCAAAGGATATAACAAAGGTAAGATGCAGCTTATCTAAGATGTAATTCTCTGCCTAAATATAGGTGATTTCTTGGAGTAGTGCGACAAATGTGTGGGTGCTCATTATTTGCCCGAAACTATTCAGAAGAAAAAATCAAATTCAAATGATTCAACCGGTCTCCACATCTACTACCATTTAATGAATGCATTGCAAATATCGAGGTGATTTCGCTCTACCGCTCAACATTGTTGGAAGATGTTGTGAGTTAAAATTGGCTGCTTATCGACCCTCTTCGTTATTCAGACACTACGACACCGTGGGGCCTCATTATCTCTTCATACAGGCTGGATAAATGAGAGAACGACGAGACTGCCCGGCCTGAGTTGTATGAACGCTGGCCTGAGATCGTAAGACTGTACTATTTTCTAAACTACTACATTTAATCAAAAATAGGTTTGTAGAATCTCTCCTTTCTACCGGATGCCCCTGAAAGTAACAGCAACTTATGACTTTCAGATTTTAGTCCAATGAGGGCAACTCTCCTTTCAGTGTAGCTTTTGATATACACCGATGGAGAGAAGGAGGGGTGGGGGAAGGAATTCGGGCCCAGGCTTGTTAGTCAGAGGATGACTATTTCAGCCAACCGACGTAAGATAAGGACTCTTTACCTTGACCTTTTAAAATCATAGTCAGGACAGTTCGAAACTAACATAAATAGACAAAGTAAAGAGAACCTAAATACTGTCATCTCTTGAGGTATTAGAGGCATTTCGATTCTAAGACGACGAGTAAGAGTACGAGTACAAGATGTTCTCAATACTAAGTAGTGCGCGCACGTGAACCAGGGTCATTTTGGCGGGAAAACGTGCAGGTCGTCACCATTCTACTACGAGTTTTAGCGAGAATTTCGTAGTGGCGGAAACAAGTAGTAAAGTGTTAGAGGTTTATCATTTTGGGGCCGGGGATGGCTTAATCTCCTTCAATAAAGATAACTGTTCTATTCTTTGGCGGAAAGGAAGTACAATAAAGCTTTCCGGGGTGTCTATTATTAAAAAATACGCGAAAAAACTTTAAGTCAAATCTCGTACTCGTAGTCGTCCTCGTCCTTGAATCTAAAGGTCTCTATTACTACACGTTGGGGTGTAATTGGAATCAATATATGAAAACATCAATTTTTAGGGACTATTGCAACAGCTCTTGATAGGCAGTGGCAAAAAGGTTTCTCACAATAAATTCACATGGTAATCACCTCTTCTTCATCATCTTCATCGTCAGTTATTATAATGTCTTCTATATCATCAACTACAGGAAATAATCATAAACACAAAGTTACGAGTATGAGTGGTTATCTTATTTTCCGTTGTTGTACATTTATTGGAGAGCTTGCACGTAAGCAACCACGAGAACGACGGCAAAAGAGAAAAAAAGCGACATCGCGATGTTTCAAAGTTCATCGTTAATATTCTACATCCTTCAATTTGTTAAATGCTGGCTAATTTGCTTTTAAATGACTTCCTAAGAACGTATTGAATTAAAAGTTTAGAAAAAAAGAAAAAGTTCTTTTGCGTTAACGTCCTCGATAGAACATCGCAGGCCTGTACTGACGGCAAAGAAAATGTGCCGATAATTATAGTGCACGTACAGTGTGGTTGTTTTCCTTGTCTTTACCTTTCTCGTCTTGGTAGCTTACATGTAAACTCCATATTTATTATACACTACTATTTTCATCTGAAGGTGAGTCAGCGTGGCTTAGTGGTTTTGGGAGCTGGATTTCAACTGGCTTGGGGCGCCACAAGGTGAAATCCAGCTCTGGCGACTAAGGAAAAGTTGTTCTTAGTATCCTCGTCAGTTTAACCCCTTGGTGATGATGGTAAATAACCAACTAGTTTGCCTCCGTCGGCAACTTAGGAGAAAGCGTCAGGGGCCAGCAAGAGGTCTTTCTCCTTCCACTCATTTTTTTCTGTTATGAGAGAACTTAGCTAGCAGGGTCTTGAACACTGCTGCCTGCTTAAAAGACACTAAGTTAAGATAGCCCTTTACCTTCTTGTTCCTCCTGTAATTCTTTTCTAAGTAGCTCTTCAACAAGCTGTGCATCGGAGAGAAAAGCACAAATGCTTTAAAGGCATGTACATTTATGTTTTCCTTAGCACTACAAACTTATAACCATTAGCTTTTTGAAACCATCTTAAGGGTGGGGTGGCTTACCACTTACAGAAACCATCCGGGGTGAAACTTTTGTGCATAAACGTAAAAATATAAAATTTGACGTGGAGGGAGAACGACTCGCTACAAAGTAAATCCATGTTGGCTGAACAGACCAAAAAGAGTTGAAAAATTGCATCGCATCCAAACAAAGCCCGTTTTTCTGAAGCCTTCTCAAACGGGAGGGCGTGAACCATTTGATTTTCCAACCAAATTTCCGGGGTTTCCCATGTAAATAGTAAGCACCCGTGTATTCTTTGTCAGTTCCGTTCAGATACAGTGTCCATCCCTATATATTACTCAAGCTTTGTTGCTTAATTCTTTTTTCGAAACATCAAAATATCTGTTGCTGCCCTTGAAGTGAAGTGTGCATGATACTTGCATTCTTTCCACATACCATTTGCCTATTTTCTTATTTGCAGTTATTCACTTCGAACTCCCGATAGCTTGAACCTTTTTATTTTATTTCTCAAGAAGGTTCAACTTAGCGGGAGTCGACTGTAGTAACGGCGCCAGTTGTTCAAAAGGTGGATAGCGCTATCCATTGGATAACTTAAGTGTGACATCATAAAAATGAAATTTCTGAAATTATGGGATTTGTCAGGATATTCTGAAAGAACAATGTCCAAGAGGCCTACTTGCCAAAAATGAGCATTTTGGGGCAAATTGTCTCTGAGATGTTAGCCGGTTATACTCAGAAAACTCAAAACAAACCCTTTTAATTTTTTTTCGGGTTGACCCAAAAAAATTTAGAAGGGTTTGTATAGAGTTTTCTAGACATAACTGGGCTACGATCTCAGAGACAATTTGCCCCAAAATGCTCATTTTTGGCAAGTAGGCCTCTTGGACATTGTTCTTTCAGAATATCCTGACAAATCCCATAATTTAAGGAATTTCATTGTTATGATGTCATCACTTTAGTACTCTATTGGTCTTCGCACCACTTATCCGCTGGATAGCGCTATCCAACTTTTGAACAACTGAGGCCTGTAAGTTTCAAACAACTGTAATGAAAACATCACATGGGCTCCAAGCGATAATAAAATAATTTCCTGGCCCATTTGCTTCAGGTTTAGCAATTCTGAAGCTTCTTGGCTGAAACGGGCTTTAACCATCATTTTGGGGCGGAACAGCCAAGATCATGGAAACCATGAAAAGATCATTTAGAGGGTTATCAGAGCAAAATAAGGGGAACAATTTTAATTTCACCCTGATTTCCAATCGAAGCATGTAACATTGCCACTTATGTTTATGGATTTCAGTAATGTTTTGCCTGTGTCTAGATCTGCTACCATTTCTTTTAAAGAAAAAAAAAAACAACAGTTCAACTTACCTTTCGTGATATTTTTGTTCTTTCTTCAGCATTCTTCTTTTTCTCCACTTCCTTTCGTTCCTGGTCAAGTTCCATTTTTTCACGTTCCTGAACAGTAACCCTGTCACTTCTGCAATACAAGGCGTTTTATAGGAAACGTATCATTATAGTATATGCCTGTATGAGTGTTTTTTCTTTCACTTGATTTGAGCAATGATAACACAATAACAGGAAACTAACCATCACTGCAGATCTGCAAATAATTTTCTTTGTAAAACGGACATACTAATTTCTGACCAGGACACCATTTATGTTGGACAAACAAAAAAAATTGGACAATCATAATGTTCACTTTTAGTACATGTACAGCGTATAGTTTTTAGTATTAATTTGATCCGCCCTGTCATCATCATCATCATCATCATCATCAGCACATTATTTTGATTATATCCATATAGATACTGGTGCATTATAAATTTTCCAATATTATCATAATACAGGGTGGAAAGAAAGTCATTTTTAAAGCTAGCCATTCGGGCAATCTGAAGCTAGCATATACTAGCCCAAACGTCAATTCAACTAGCCCCAAATACATTTTGATGAGCAGAATTGATTTAACAGTTCTTCTGTAATTTGAATACCTGAAAAACTTCATTTGCCCGTCGGGCAAGTTAATAACAGAACTCACTAGCCTGATAGCAAAATCTATTAGACCCGGGCTATCGGACACTACTTTCTTTACATGCTGATAATAATAATGATAATGATAATAATAATAATAATTATTATTATGATTACCAAAATCATCATCATCATCATCACATCTGACCATACAGGTAGTTAGCATTAATTTTGTAGGATATGGGCAAGAAATGTAAGTCGGATATTTATGACCAACTGGTATTAACAGCTCTTTTGTGCTGACACTTGTTGCATTGTTACATGTATGTTTACTAAAATGAAGTTTTAAGTAAAAGTAAAGTTCACGGGATACCACTAGGAATGCTTGCCATTACTTTCAATAATCATTTTATAATTTTCAGAAAAAAATCAGTGCTTCCAGTTTATCAAAAATCTTGGATTATGCAAACTGGCATAAAAATGTTGTGAGCATTAAAATACAAAGTGTATCTAAGTTGGAATGATACCAAGTGTTCACTTATGTGTGAAAGTAACACTTACTTCCTGACAAACACTGGTAAAAAATTATTATTATTTGAGCACCACGTTTGAATTGGTCATGCAAAATCTCAGTGAAAAGAAAAAAATACCATTTGGCTATAATGAGTTAAAAAAATTTCAACAAAGGGCAGCACTGTTGCTTCAAGGGTGCATTGTAATTTTGGGTTGGTACTCATTTGTGTAAATGCATTTTGACAAAATCCTGTGAGAAATTATGGTGTACAGTATAGAGATGTTATATTAATTTTTTCAGATTTGTAGCATTTTAGGGGAAAGATAAAAATGTGGGATAAATACTTAACACGCACCTGCTTTCCTCCATTCGCTGCACTCTTCTCCTTGGTTCTCGTTCATCCTGTTATTTAAAAATTTTGCTTTTATCAGATACCTCATGGCTGTAATTTATTGTTGTAATCACTGTGCATTGAAACTAATGCAACATGGATTACTTACATAATTTACATGTAAGTATCTGTTGTGGTTCGATTTTATCCTTGGTTTAACTTTTATTTCCCTTTGTTTTGGGGTATGGTAAGTTATGATAATGAGTTTGAAACAATGGGAAATAAAACTTGAACCAAGGATAAAATTGAACGACAACATATCCACAGGTTGCAAAAAATTGTTTTTTTGAGGAATCTATGGTTTTAAATATCTTTAAAACAACTTCTTTGTGTTGGGAGTTGGTATTGCTAAGATTCAAGTCAAAAATAACTACCACACAGCTACATTTGTAAAACAGTTATTAAGAGGGTTGAGTGACACTACTGTAGTAAAGAAAGAGGTCTATTAAAAACATAGCAATGGAGCCTAGGATGTAGCTGAGCTGCATAATATGTTGCATCTATTCCAAATCACTTGCTTCATCTAGTGTAGTCAAACTCTCCTGAAGTTGAACTTCAAAGAACCATATCCAAGTTCAGAAAGAGAAATGGAATTTTCTTGGCACTTGACTGGTACTCCATAGAACATGAAATTATTGTAGTCATACCATACAGATCACAGGGCTTGAAATAAACGGTAACCCGTTAACCAACGGTTAGTAAAAATTTTCTTAAATATTTAAATTATGTTATGGAAACAACCTTTTTACAAGTAAATGTTAATTTTTAAGAACGATTTTTGTGTTGTTTTCTTGCATGAGATTGTTTTCTGTCTCCACAATTTGTTCTCGCCATCTTTGCGATCGAATCGAACTTTTCAGACCTTTTGAGCGCTAAGGCCCTGGAGACGAGTTTGTGTCGAATGTGGGGATCTGGACACTACAATATCGGATCCGCCATCTTCGCTTCAAAATTACTGTTTGCGAGGTTAACTGGCAGTTTGGCATTGAATTATGCAGAGTTCTTTGGATAGATTTATTGGAAAAAGGCAGGCTCCAGCTGAAAGTAACTGTGGTGAAGAAGAAGAATGTCAAGAAAAGGAACCAAAGACAACAGAAGATATGGAAGACTCGACCTCCTGGAAGCGTTACGAAGAAAAGAGGAAACAAGAGGGCCGATCATTTCGACAGGAGTGGAAATAAACATTTGCGTGGCTTCAGTTTGACGAGACTAAGGAATACTTAGAATACTCAATTTGTTGAATCATTCAACTCAAACTGTTGTTAGAGAATGTGCTGAAGATGTACTGTTCTTCACTGCCTAAATCATGCTGGTCTCTTCAAGGGAAACGAGAGGGAAATAAACTAGGCGCTTAATTGTCAAAGTTTTTTTAAGGTCACCATGCAATTTCGACTACTTTTTAATTTGTTCTAGTGGTTATTGACAAAATGTTCAATATTTGAGATTTCAAGATTGTCAATATTTTTTAGTTGTGAGCTTGGATACCAAACTTTACAATTTGGTTAGTAAAAAATATGTCTACTAACCCGAAGGGTTAGTGATTCAAAAATTAAATTCGAGCCCTGGATCAACACAGACTTAAACAAAAAAGTGCGATGTAAGTGTAAAGATAAAACCTATTGTTTTTTAATGTTCATATTGCTGTTGCTGTCATTGGATCTAAATTAGCCTATCGTAAGAAAAAGTAAACTTCATACCTCTTCACCTGATGCCTCCTCGTCTCCCATGGCAATCACTTCAGGTTCATGAGGTCGACGTCTGTGACCTTCCCTGATGAAATGAAAAGTAAAAGACTGAATAGAAAATGAGTGACATCTCAGACTACAGTTTATGTCGAGAAAAAAATCTGTTTATGGTGACATGATTGTATATCACAGTTAGCAGAGACATATTGATTTTGAAATATTTTACCATGTAACAAATGGGTGCATAAGCCTCTCAGAGTGCTTAACAAAATACTGAACTGACTGGCTAGAAAACCACCACTTCCAGGTAATATAGACTGACCTGGCTGGGCAGGTTTGATTGACAGCTAAATTCTCTTTATGACTTTAATTGTCTGGTTAGCTTGTTCTGTCTAATGGACAAGCACCCAACCCTGTACATCAGCCTCTTATGCAATTTAATGCCAGGCCAATCAATATATGATATTAATGAACAGGTTTGCTTGCTTTTCACAAATGGCTTCAATGATGATACTTTCAAACAGGTGACAGTTAACATTTCAGATGATATTTATATGAACAAAATTATGAATGTAAATGTACAGTGTACCATCAGCATCACCTACATTTCATCATCCTCATCTTTAACTCTTTCTTGTAGTCGTCGTAATCTTCTATCTGTCTTTTCTGCTTTCTGGAAAACCTAATGAACAGACAAAAACATAAGAGTAAGTAAGGAGTGTGTAAAGAGTGTAATAGGTCTTGCAAAATAAGGTTCTAGTTATTCATTATGGTAAATTACATATGTACAATACTACATGTGACACAGTACTACTTTTTGTTTGACAATACTGCGTCTTGTGATGACAATTAATCATGATGTTTCAAGTGAATCAGGGCTCGAAATTGCGACTGATACGGTCGCCAATGCGACTAACATTTTCTCCTTGGCGACTAAAAATTCTGGTTTAGTTGCCAAAGTGGCGACCAGATTTCTCTATATTTTAGACTTGTTGCTCTCTCAACAACAATATGCCCCAGAAATGAACCAACGGCAAAGCCGTTAACATCATGGCTAGTGCCCAGTTTTTCGCAACGTGACCCACGCCTGGTAGTTTTGGGATGTTGTTTGCACGTTTCAGTGACAAAGTGTCAAGATAAATTTGCTGAGATAACTTTCAAATATGTTGTACAGACATGTACGTGATAAGATTTCTACTGAATTTCACAGTATTATGCGTGCTTTTGTGAATTTTGCACATTTACCTGAATTTCACGGCTTCGCGACCGCACGAAATGTATCACAAGCCCTGAGCTGCATCATTTACATTATAGAAACCGGCAAATAAAAATTTGCATCTGGCGACTATATTTCTCCAGTTGGTCGCCAAAAGGTGACCTGAGGATTTTTTTAATTTCGAGCCCTGTGAATATTTCTAGGCTTCAGCATGTGATGAGGTTGACCAGATATTCAACTTCTACAAAACATGGCCCTCCACCGTAAATGGTTCTTAAAAGCATGAGTGTGTAACATCAGAAGTTTTCTTCTGTAAAAGTCTGTAGGTTTTGTGGAGAGTTAATCAACTGTATCTTAAGCATTATCCATAACTACGACAAATTCTCCAATCCATTTAGCTAGCAGTTGTCCTGATTTCAACATTAATAGGTAATGTAAAAGAGCAGCATGTTGCTACTATGGATGAACAATAACTATGCACATTAAGAGAGAACTGACTTCTTTTGTGGAGAGTTAATAATATTGCAATAACAAATATGACAATTAAGAAATTCCATTTAAATAGTGTGCTGAAGACAAGCTCGGAGAAAACTCACTCAAAGAAACTTAAAATTACTTACACCATTGCCCATTTTCTTAAGTCTCAGAGGTACATGTAATGCTACATGAACTAAGGCCGAGTTCAGACGCCGATCTTTTCATTTCATAAGCCGAACCTAATATAATTATTGAATTAACAGGGCTTCTGATATTTCGCGCGGTCGCGGACCCGCGAAATTCAGGCATTTCCGCGAAATCCCGCGAAATTCCCCCAAAAACGCGAAATACCGCGAAATCCGCAAGAAATATTTCCAAATCCATGTCGGCAAAACATATTTAATACTTATCTTGGCTATTAGACCTTTTCTATTCACCCCAAATGTCCAAATTTATCTTGAAACTTCGTCACTGCAACGAGTAAACAACGTCCCAAAACTAACAGGCGTTCTTAGATGAACGTTGCGAAAAACTGGGCACTAACCACAATGTAAACAACTTTAGCATTCGCTCATTTCTCGAGCAAACTGTTGTTGAAGGAGCAAATGATTATCCCTGTTAAAAAAACGTTAAACAACGCTGGTCATATCGACGCAAAATTGATCGTTTTTAGCGAAATTTGCCAAAAAACCCCCAGTGAAATCGGCCGATTTTTCTATGAATTTGCCCCTGAAAATCCTTCGAAATTTGACTTTTTCCGCTAAAATGCCGCGAAATCGGTCGATTTTCCTGCGAATTTTGACTTTTCTCCCGCGAAATCGGCAGATTTTTCCGCGAATTTTGACTTTTTCCCGCGAAAATCCGACGAAATCGGCCAATTTTGCCGCAAGTTTTGACTTTTTTTCCGCGAAAATCCCGCGAAATCCGCCGATTTTTCCGCGAATTTGCCCCTGAAAATCCCGCGAAATTTTGCGTTTTTTTCCGCGAAATATCAGAAGCCCTGAATTAAGTACATGAAAAATTCGACGTCTGAATCAATTAGGAATCCCTATTTCAATTTGGAATGGTTCAGCCGTTCTTCACGCCTAGCCTAGCCAGGAATTCCGACTGTGGAATGACTTTGGATTGGCTTTGATTCAGAAGCCGAACTTCTCATGTACCGAACCTAATGCATAAATTATAATAATGTATTTTGCAAGCAGTTTGACCAAAATGAGCATTTTTGTCCTTTTGAATTTAGTTTGGCTGGAATTGAGATCAGCGTCTGAATTCATTCAATATTTTAATAAATACTTGTTATGGCCTGAAGTGGACTTCTTTCATTTCCAATACCATTCTAAAGCAATACCTTGTCCATTTCTTGTTCGTCAACATCTCGTTCTTTCATAAATGGTTCTCCGAATACTTCATCATCTTCATCCTCCTCATCGCTTGAATACTTGGCATATTCAGGGCTGAAATTTGCGGTAGTGAAAGATTGGGGGTTTAGATTTGTTGATAAATTTCATCAAAATTCATGAATTATTATATTATTATTATTATTTAGTCCTAAGCAAATTGTTCTATTGCTCTACAGTTTGGTCAAACACAACTGTCACAGACATCAAGAAGCTTCAAGCTGTTCAGAATTTCACGTGCAGAATCATAACAAAAAGAAAGAAATTAGAGCGCATACCACCTGCGTTATGTGAGATCAAATGGCTACCGGTAAATGAGCATCTCCACTACAGAGACACTGTAATGACGTTTTGGTGCATGAAGGGCCTGGCCCTCACATACATGTGTGAGTCTCTCCAAAGACGCAAGTCTATTCACCATCATAACGCTAGAAACAGTGAATCCCTTGATATTCCTCCAGGTAAGACAAAGTCAGGACAGCGACGTTACCTCCATAGAGCAGTCAACATTTGGAACAATTTAGACAAAGATTTATAACGCACATGCTAGAGAATTATTTTAATTAATGACCGCTTTTTATAATTTTATTCATTTTTTATTATAATGTTCTTTGCTGTTTAGTATTGAAAAGCCCCCCGGGGAATACTAATAAAGTATGTATGTATGCACCAAGAATTTCGCATTATTTACTAAGCTATTAAATAGGTACAGTATTCTCACCGTTTGCCAGCTACATATCTGCTGACTTTCACTTTCTGCATAGTCAACTCTCCTGTTGAGGATTGGAAATGATAAAAAAAAACATTATGATGAAAGGATAATGCACAGGGAAGTTTGCTTAGTAGACTGCTGTACTCACCCTTTTCATTTTTGATCGGAATAGCCCCCGCTGTACAGTTGATAGGGACTCCTTTTCCTGACGAATCCATTTTGGAGTTAAGTGCAGTTTCAAGCTTTCAATGCAAGTTTCAACTTTTTTGACAATCGCTTTTTAAAATAAGCTCCTGAATGTACATGTATTCTTCGTTTTCACTGTCACGCAATAAACACGGCACAAAAAAATCCATTTGAAACCGTCCAGTGGAAGAAGCCAAGAAAATGAAATGTTATAAAAGACTAATATATAAACTACTTGTCCAACTCTCAGGTCTTTGTGGCCCACAGTTTCTGAGTGAGTTGCCGAAACATTTCACGCACCTTTGTAGAGCTTTGTATGGAGACGCCATGTTGGTGGACAGTGTCCACCAATATGGCCGCCGGAAATCAACAAAAACATCTGGAGTTCACTTTTTCTATAAAAGCGCCTCCTTTTCACTCGAGAACTAGCATACTTGCGCATAAACATATCTTCTAATACTTGAAATGGTTAAACTGCTGAAAATCAAGCGGAGAGACTTTTTTCAAGGAGATAGCATTCCTATTTTGGTGTCACGCACTGTGAAAACTCGGAAGTTCAAACTGCTGTATTTTCGAAATGAAACATGCTTCGGGGCTGGAAACTTGTCCAAAGATTTATTTCCTATTAATCTTCAACCTAGTGTAAATGAGAATTCGTAAAACCTGGCTTTTTTGACCTTGCAATCTGATGACGTCACCGTGAAAACCTTCGCTTTTTTCCAATATGGCGGATTGTCTCAAGCGCTTCCCTTTTTGGGTGAATCCGCTGGCAGTTTCTGTCGTATTTCAGTAGTACCCAGATTTCCCTCTCTAAGCGAGGCTGAACATTAAGGCTGAACACAATGAAATAACGCTGCTTGATATGCGTTTTGGCGCGCGGGAAGGTTCGTGGATTCCTTTCTTTGGTAAGCATTTTTTTTGTTCTTTCTAACTTTGACCTCTCTAATGATAAATCTTACAGAATTTATTATCCCAAGGTGGTTTGATTTCTGCTTAGAATAGTTAAAGAGGGTCTGGTGAGAGCAATACTGACTCAAGATTTACGTTTGTAAGCGTTCCGAAAAACTTTTGTCCTCAGCGAATGGCGAACCGTACACTTTGTCGGTCAAGCTCTGCCTTTTTAAAACGGTCATGAAACATCTAATTATTAGATTTCGTCAGTTTGTAGCTGTACATTTGGTGGAAGACTCGATTTAATGTTGTAATATGCCACGCCAGCGTTAACGGGGGTCGCAATGTTGAATTATTCGCTTTTCTGATTAGATTAGTAGATTCAGTTTAATGCGAAGTTTTATTTTTCCTCAAGATCTGAAACACATGCACAGTAAACCGTTGGCAGGTAGTTCGTAAGGATGATGTCGGTGAAGTCCACGTCGCAAGATATCAACTTGTCTAACATTCGGTAAGCTTAATTGCATTATATTTTTTCAAAATACTTTACATTCAGCAGTGACATTGGTGTTTGTTCATATAAAACTGACCCAAGTGAACGTCAGGTTATTTACAGCTCAAAGACTTACCCTGTATTTAATTTCTTCTCCAAAAGGGCGCATGTAGCTTTGAAGATTTTTGCGTTAAAATGCATGAATAATTTGCCAGGCATAGCCGTATCGCCAAACGCTACCGCAAATTTCGTAAATTTTCTTGTCTCGTTTCTTTTCCCAGGATTATCTAAAGAACTTATTAGATTTTTCATACAAGCGGCCAACAAATGTAACGCATTTTCGTAGTGGCGTGATCATTTTTTAGTTGTAATGCTTGCATGTTCTTTTTGCGTTGATTTGTCATATAATCTGCCTTTGAATTTAACTTTGCTATATTATTTCTTGTTTTCTAATGCAAAAATGCAAAGCCAAGCAGTTTATGACCTATTTGACTTTTCCTGGGTTTTCATAAAACGTGTTAATTACAAGCCTTAAGAGAGTGTCTCTGTAAGAGCGGTCCGGTCGATTTTCGTCGAGACACAGATTTAGCTCATTTCTTGTGTGTTGTAAGACATTCATGTGCCTATACTAAAACCACAATCCGTTTGATCGGATCTCTTTATTTTTCAGAGTTTTACGGAAATTAAATTTCTCTCGAGCGAAGGCCTGTCGTGACACTTTTCAAGACTTTAATTTGAGGCAACTTTGGAGGACAATTTACAAAAAAGTACGGGACTCAGCAAAAATCAAATACCACAGCCACGTGTAATAACTCTATCTTATCCATCGAGGCGATTTTCGTGAACATCACGTTTCAATCAAGCAAACAGGAAGACTTGAACGACACCTTATCAGTTCGCTTAAGTCACACACGCGAAAACCGGTCAAATTCAAGGTACATTTTTGAAAAAGTGAGGCGTTCTTAACTGATCCAACTAATATAGCTAGGAGGTAGGTGCCATAGAAAAGGTAACTACAGAAAAAAACTTTGCGGCCCGACCTTTACTAAAACTTTATAACTCCGTGAACTTACCTAATTTTCCGCAATCTCCAACTTTTGCCGCCATTTTGAGGGACTTGTCAACATGAAGCGTAGCTGATATAAATCGAGCAGGTAGATCTAAAACAGTCAGAAATACATACGAAAGCATTCAAATGAACTTCACTTTCAATTCAAGGGGCAAAATTTGAAACTGTTCGTTAAACCTACCATTCCTACATCCCCATGCGACCATTTCTTCCAACAATTCAAACACTACAACTAGTGACCACTAGTGTTCGAATTTCCCTTGTCGATTCCACCGTAAGAAATAACCTGTGCCACCCAAGATTCGACTCCAATGTGAAGGACGAATCAAACAACATAACTGTGTCATCTTCGAGGCCATATCACGCTGGTATTTTGATTTTCTGGTCGACAAGAACGGTGATCAGGAGGTGATCGTCATGTTTACCTCATAAAGGTGACCGCTGACCAGAGTACGCCGCGGGGTGGTGTGGGTGGCGGACTTATCGTCATAAGATATTCGAATACATGCTAAAAAAGCTTTAGGACTCTCAGTCTAAAGAGTGAAGGCATGCTTCGTGGTACAGACAACTTTTATTTTATTCTCATAACTTTTTCCCTTAAATTAGAACTGGTATTAATTAATAGAGTTATTTAAATATTTTTAACCGAGGTACCCATATGACCTTTTTGCTTGTCCTCAGGGGTATAAAATAAGGTGTCTTTTCTTTCAGAACCTTTTATTTATGCGTTATTGCACGGAATGAACACTATACTTAGAAGGTTTGTTCTAAATCATTTTGCTGTTCCCAAGAATGTATGCAAAATCATAGATTTATACATAGCTGACTCTAAAATATGATTTTCCGTAACAGTAACCAATGTCATTTAGGTAAGGCGTTAATAAAACTAGCAATGCACAATTTTTAGCGTTTTCCACTTATAAGCCTGACATACAATTGTCAAGTGAACTATGTTAGTTTCAGCTCATTTCTTGATTCGATTTGACCTTTTATCACTAAACCCCATTCTTTTCATTTGCAATTTTCCTGTACTTTTTTTTCATATGACAACGACAAAGAGTTTTATATGCAAACCGATTTTTTGGTGTACCACTCTTATTACATTTTATAAAATAACTGAGATAGTACGCGTGATCTGATTGGTCAAAAACCTATGGTTTATTATACCGGTAAACCCATAGAAAAAGGCATCCGGACCACGCGCCATAAACAAAACCGGCTATTGATCTGCAAACAATGATTTTAGAAAGGCTAAAAAAAGAACAAGTTACTTACCCAGCTCTTCTTAATATCAAAAGCGTTGGTTTCCACATTTTATTACTGCCATAGCTTTAGAAGTAATAAAGTACAAAGCTGGAAAGCAGTTTACATTTCACGACGATGCCAAATCGCTGAGAAAGGCAACAACTGTGTGAATTTCTGGTGTAGAAAGTCTCCAGGAAAACTTGACCATGTGCCAACCAGCAACAAAACGGATAGTTTTAGCATTCTTGATTTATTTTATGTCAAAATTAAATTCCTTAATGAAAGAAATTGTTCCAAAAAGGGATCTCTGATCAAGATATGATACAAAATCGGCCGCTGTAGGTTGTAACAAGCTGCCAACGATGATGAAAGATGTCAGAGTTTCGGGCTGGTTTTTTCCAACATTTGCACAAATTATTCGGTGATATGGATGCCATAACCTACCTCAAACCACCTGACTTTACAAATCGACAAATATTAACGCCAATATGTGGCTACGGCAAAGAAACTTTTCTCCACCACTGGCATATTTCCATCGGTCGCTGTACGTGCATATGAAAGTTACATGCGACAACTTCGCAAATGCAGCCACGTCGTTACCGCAGCATTTCTTAATCATAATAAAGTCCAGAAAACAGATCTGAAACCACTGCGGCTTGTAAAATGTGAATGAAGTCCTCCATTACAATAGCTGCCAGTTCCGTCTGTAAGCACAAAATTCTTACTGATCGGCTCAACAAAATACAGCGGCGTACAGTCTGATGTTCAATTAATTTCTACTTCGGTAGTAAACAAACCATGAACGTATTTTTTCATTGTACGTTCGCTTGAATAAATGTTGACTTTTCCTGTAAAACAGCTTTCATAAGTTATTATGTAATGAGTGCAAAAACTCGTGTTTTGAAGTGCTGCTGTTTGTTGTTTTACTGAACTGAGTTTTAAGAAAGTTCAACGCTATTAAATCGTGAGTCATGATTGGCTTATGATGACTTTAGAGAGAAGACGTGACTTGATCACGGTACTAAAACCATATTTTTTACCGAAAAGACTCCATTCTACTAAAAGTTATTTTATAAAAGCAATAGACCACACTTTCTATGGGTTTACCGGCGTGATAACCCACTTGGGATGTAGGGAGAACACTCGAAAAGCTTGTAAATCACTCGCCTTCGGCTCGTGATTTACAAGCTTTTTCTCGTGTTCTCCCAACATCCCGCGTGGGTTATCACGCCGGTAAACCCATAGAAAGTGTGGTCTATTGCTTAAGTAAAGATAAAAAACACAAAGGTTTTTACAAGTAAACTGTTTTTTTTTTTGTACCATTCTTAATATAT